TTCGGTATGCACATAGTCAGGGACGTGTTATAGATAAAAATTGATAACTTGACCTCATGTGACCTCTACTTCCAGTTTGACTGGAAGTTGTATTTAAACACACAAATCATCATATCTCATGAACTATACGTTCAATTGCAGTGCCACTTTGGCAATTATTTGTAATCCAAGTAATTGCAAACTTATGATACTTGTTGACAGTCATCAAAGACAATGAAACACATTTTAGGAACAGCTATGTGTTTGTTCACAAACACATTTTCTGTAGTTTTTATTTACATTGGTAAATCCTGAACTGACAGGGCTTAATTTCATTTCATGATATTTACTTGCAGTTATCCACAGTATGTTTTTATTAGCGACAATGCAATATCCCAGTCAGCTGGTCTGGCAAGCCGATACACAGAGAATGCTCTACTAGGTGTCATCACCGATATCCACTTCCTTGCGTTGTCTGACTACTTAGTGTGTACATTCTCCTCTCAGGTAGGTAGTTACTGGCAATGGCATTGTTGTCAAGTCCATCACAACTTCATCTCTCGTCAATCAGTTCCTGTCGAGTCGCACTCTTTAAATCCACTTTGTCATGTGTTTTCCGTTACTTGTGACTGGATGTGTGGTGTGACTGTTGACTGGTCTTTTGGTGAACCCGACCATGACACTCACCTCATGCACTTTCTGCTTGGTGAACATTAAGAGATTGCATATTTTAACGTAAGAATGACTCCTCTCGCTTGGAAGACACAGTGGACTGGTTCAAGTACTCGTTCTCGAGAAGTCCGATTATTCCTTGTAAAAATATGGTTTGAGGAAATCCAGAATCATTGTGGATACCAGACTTTCTTTGTTTTGAGTAGTGCACTTAATCACTGATCAGAACAGAATTTGGTCGATGACATAAAAAGTAACAGTCCTTGATACGCAGTGGTATAGAGCTGGTCATCTCCCTTGTAGACTTGTGCCAATAATGATGCTGATATTTCTGATTTTTCTCTCGCTCCCTGCGACTGCTCTTTCAGGTGTGTCGAGTAGCCTATGAAATCATGCAGACATACCACCCGGATGCGTCCACGTTCTTCCACTCTCTTGATGATGTTTACTACTTCGGTGGCCAGAACGAGCACCGACAGACTGCCCTTTATGAGCACAAGCCTCGCAGCCGGGACGAGATTGCTCTAGCACCAGGGGATACAGTGGGCGTGGCCGGCAACCACTGGGACGGTTACTCCAAGGGGCGGAACCACCGGCTACGAGTCCGAAACAGCGGTCTCTATCCCTCTTACAAAGTTGAGGAAGTTGTGGAAGTGGCTCAGATGCCTACCTACCCCGAGGTCCCATTGCAGGTCCCATCTGAAAACAGTGATGACGAAATCAAAGTCAAGTCCTTTTTATAAAAGAAAGTATGAAAAATGTATGTTTTAAAAAAGATGCATGGACAAAGGTTTAGTAATACTATAAAAGCTTTATGTGTAATTTTTGATACAACTCAGAAGGCGCCAAGAATTTTATATCCGTCTGATGTGTTTTAACTTGACTTTGTACATCTGAAATACATGTAGCTTGGTGGTATGTCTGTTTGTGTTTGTTTCCGGCTGTGACTGGGATGTCTTTTGTTTGGTCTTCCTAGGCTTGTGGGATCATGGGCACCATGTACAAAAGTCTGGGCTCTCAATGCTTTTGTATCAACTGAAGCCACTGGCGGCCACCTTTCATACCGTGCCATTGTAACTATCATTGCCACAAACAATTTGTCAATAATGGTGAGCAAGCCTTTATATTTCCATTGTATTGGCATGGTAAGATGGCCGCCGGTGACTTCAGTGACCTGTGTGGGTTGACGTAGGCCTTCACATGGATCTGGATCGCAATCGGTGATCCTTTGTTGGCTCTATAACCAGCTAATGGATAGAATGGACCAGCTTCAAGATCACTGATAGTGATCCAGATCTGTGTGAAACAAATAGGCTCTAAGGATATTACAGGTCCAGATGTTTTTATAGGATGTCTGTGAATGGGATCAGCCAAGTTGCATGTAATTTCCGTCATTGGAATTGCAATTTTCAAACATTTGCACATTGATGGCCGATCATCAGCCTGTGTGCTTGTTTACAAAGTAAGGCATGAATTTCAGACGTGTGTCTCATTTTAGTGCTCCAAGTGGCATTTTACTTAGGGATCAACCGATTTAGGGTTTAAGTGCCGATCCGATGTCCGATGTTTTAATCAGAACATGTCCGATGCGATGGTTTTGCCAACAATAACTGAGACAAAACCCAAACAGGATGTAGGCTTACAAACAATACAAAACCAGTGTACTCCCTTAAAATGTCAGTTTACACATTACCGGTAATAGGATTAGTTTTTGCCAACACAGTCACTGTTGAGAGAATAAATCATGTAAATTCTGTACGTCGATCCCCGCCGCGCATGATACTGATGTAACCGATCACACAAACCAACGCGCTGCTTACCGTGTACAGTACATTCAGAATAGACACAGCACCTTGGGCTGAATCACGGTAGCCTTTAGTCAAGGCATGTATGGAACCGCTGCACCATTGCATTGGTGTCTTCATCGTGCATGCCAACAGCAGAGGTGCACGTTGTATGTTCAGGTAGCCACACGTGCCTTGAATAAAGGCTAAATTGCGGGCTACCTTCAGACCAGTCACACAGCACCTCGTGCGTGGTGCCACACATGGTGTAGTTCCAGGGCTGTTTTAATGGCTGTTAATTGAAACGGTACACAAGTACACTGATTGCTCCATGGGGCCACGGTCCGTGCATTGAGTAGTTGCAGAGGTGTAATTTTCGGGGATACTCTACGTGGGTTTAACCTTTCATTTATCACACCAAATGAAAAAAAAACAGTTTGTATCCATGCTCAAATGAAACGTATGAGATTTTTGTTTGCCAAAACTGAGAGCAGAGTTTGCTCCTTTCTTGAAGTTAATATCGGCAAGGAAGGTCAAATTTTGCCAATCTGATATGTTGCCGATGTTGCAAAAATCGGCCTGATTCGATGTCCGATCCGATCATTGGTTTATCCCAAATTTTACTGTTATGAAATCCTCCCAACCACACACTTACAGGCATTGGATTACTGTTGTGTTAGGAACAAGATTTAAAAAAAGCTATTTCTACCGGAGTACCGTGGCCAGTATTTATCGTTGTCACATCAGTGTTTGATGGCCCTAACCCCCTAGGGACCATTGAAATCCTGCATAACCTTGTTGGGTTCAGCATGGCTAGGGTTTACACCCTAGGGACCATTGAAATCCTGCATAACCTTGTGAGGTTCAGCATGGCTAGGGATAACCCTAACACCCTATGGACCTTTGAAATCCTGCGTTACCTTGTTGGGTTCAGCATGGTTAGGGATATCATAGTTTACAGTCCTGTAGCAAACAGCTAACGTTACAACCTTCCAGGTGATACCATGACAATTTCAAACTAAAGGAATATAATTGACTGTTAAATGTCATTTTTACAAACTTTTACCATTAGTGAACCAAAACTGAAATGCCCAGGTTGGCAAAAGCTAAAACGCCTCTTGCTTTGTATTCTGTCTGTTGATATTTTAAACCAAACAAGTTTGTTGTATGGGGTTCATGATGCACAATTTGACTGAAATATACACCCAAGTGGGATACTCTGAATTTTGTTCAAGGGAGATGAGCAATGTAACATTGACGGTTAAGAGTTTAGCAATCAGACTGCTACATGTACTTTCAGTTTCAGTCCAAACCACCAGTCCATCTCTGAAATCCCCCCCCCAATAAAAACACTTTGCTGCATTTACAAGAAAAAGTGTCTTGGAATTCATGGGGGAAATTTAGGTACATATCCTAAATGTTTGCCAAGTTCTTTTGAAAATGTCTCTCTTAGGAAAGGAGGAAAACAAATGGCATGCCCAAAAGTTCAATTGGGAATTTCAGGCTGGATTTGTGGAATATTTCTTAGTTTGATCCTGATTATTGTCACAAAATATTTTTCATGTTTCATACTCTTATGTAATACAAACAATAAGAAAGGTGACCAACTCTTACAAACATGTATACTTTGTTGAGTGTCAGTAAATGTATTTTTATGTAAATACTTTCATATATTTTATTTTCTTGTTAACACTATAGCATGGTTATAGCAAAGAGGCTTGTTACAAAACCAGATGCAACAACTTGAAGTGTGCTACATTAAGAAAACTTAATAAATTTTATTTCTAGTAGTTTCTTTCTTGAGTACTTGTGTTAAAAACAAATTATTACTCAAGCATGTAAGGTCTGCATGCATATGTTATGATGTGTTATACTGTACGAGCTGACATAAATTTATGGGTAATTTTGTCAAATATGTTCCAGGGTTGTGATGTACTGATCAGAAAATTCTGAACCATTTTATGCGCAATATAGATTGCGTATGTAAACGTTGCTTTGCAGCGCATGTTATGCCTGCTTGGAAAAAGGTACATGAATGTTCCATATGTCGGTTACCATTGTCCTCAGCAACTTGGGGTGAAAAAGAAGCGACCAGCACATCATACAAAGTGTGTGCTTGCAAAGTATGTGCAGTCAGCTAGAATGTTCGCTTTTTTGAAAGAAAAATTATCGTTAGCTAGAACCCTACTACATACTTTATAATTATTCAGAAGTTAGAAGTTATTGTAATGTCACTGCATTTCATGACTAGAATAAAAGCCTGTGAGAGAGAATTCCCTGTCTAGATACATATAGCTGGGGTAGCCAGCTTAGGGCATTTTTCACAAAAGCTGTGTTCATGTTTTACTCTGAATACGTATAGATAGAAGAAAACGTTTCATGTGCATTATGTTCAGGTCACATTACAAGAATGATTTACAGTGTTATCTTTCTATCTGTCTTCTTAAAATAGCCACGTGATGCAAGAGCATCAACAGAAGAGCAAGCCCAAAAGAATATTCTCGCTTTAATACCCGCGCATTGCATTTCTGCTGGTGGGAGGCGTATGAGGAGGGTACTCATGTTAATACCCAAACTCTTTCAAACACAGCCGTGAGATGTTGTTGGTTCAAATCCTCCATACCATCTTCTCTAGAAGTATTTAGAAAACAGTAAACACACAACTCTAGATTAAGAGCAATCTACACAATGTCAGAAGAAAAGTTTTGAAATGGCGATGGACATGATAAACAAATGAGGTTTGCTTTTCAAGAAACTAGAAATGGGAGGATTTCACTAGATACTGTCTTGTCAGACAAAACAGGCGAGTGTAAAGCTGCAGATGTGTTACTGTACATATACATTTGGCAGATATCAACACGATTCATCAATGTAACATTGTAATGTCAGTGATGCAAGGGTACCTCACTGGTGTTCAGCTGTGAGCTCAGTGTTGGAATAGGGTTGGGGAGAAGGCGCATCAACTTGCATTTTTGAAGGTTGTACAGAAAGAACTATGAATATGCCCCTGTTTTCAGGATATATAGAATAAGAATGAAAAAAAAGCAAAAATTTTTTTAATTTCATTTTAAAAAATCTGATAACATCATCTTGACTGCCGCCCAATTTGTTTGCATATAATGCATCCTTCGGGTCCGTAAACGGTTTAAAGTTGGACTCGGTGTTCACACAGTATTGGTCTACACTGTAGGGGCTTATTACCTAACTTGTGATAAAGTCATCATGAAGTTTCTGCTCCGTGCTCATCTTCTGTGTGGGGTCTCGCTCTGGTTTGAGTTTGGTCCAGATCTGTGGTTTAAAACTGACCGAAGATGTGTGCAGGAAAACCGTGTACAAAGTAGGACATACGGGAGAAGAGCCAAGAAAGTATAACAACAATCTTGACAAAAACAATGGTTTTCTCAGAGGTGTTCAGAAAAGTGAAAAAAAAAAAAAAAAAACATTTCCAGGGTGTATGTGTGCTTGTTTTTCTTTCACTGTTTATTTGTTGCTCCCTAAAATGGCTGACAAGCATTTTTATACTGTGTTTAACTTGTATCAAGTAAGAGACATTTTGTCTTGTGTAAACATTTTCTACTACTATATGATTTGCATTTGTTTAGGCACTGTACTTCTGGGGATTCCAATTATAAAAGAGGTGCAAATGTTGGTTGAAATATGAAATATTTCCAGATGTTTCTAAACCATTTTGTCTTGTAAGTGGGCGATGTACTGTATGCAAAAGCCATTTCCAGCATTTTGTTGTTTTATTGATTTTACCGTCCTGGTTCAGCAAAGAATCAAGAGGTTTGCTCTGAAAGGCTGAAGCTGTTCTGTGGATGCTGCAGACATAGTACAGAGCATCATGGGACAGATCTGAGATGATAGACATGTCACAGTAACATGCCGCAGTAACAGCATAACCATGCCTGCTTGCACCTGTGTCATGTTACATCACTTGCTGTATGTCCTCTAGCTGCAAACCCAACTCCCTCTTCTTCTGAAGCCCCTCCCCTCGAGTGGCTTACTAGTCATGTACAAATCATTTTGGAAAAAGATGTATTCTTTTTTTGTCAATGAGGGCCTGATTTTATTGTACTTCTAAGCACAAAGAATCTCTTCATGAACAGAAATCTGTTGTTTGCTTAATTTAAAGTTCCTTGTATGGGTATCGTGAAATCATGATAAGATCAAAAAGCATGCATACGGAGGATATTCGTACATATGCTGTATTGGTTTACATCTCGGACAAGAATGCCTGATCAAAGAATCAGGTGATGAAACTGTTTAACACCAAACTTTGCTTAGCAAATTACGTACCAAGCAATACCTAGATGAGGAACCACTCACGGAAAATATACATTACTAGACATTTTGTCTGTGCTTGCAAATGTCTTTATTTTTCATTTTTGTGAAATTGGCCCTGGGCTTAGGTTGTAAATCCAAGTATAGGCCTTGCTTGCCATTACTTGGCAGTGCAATAAATTTGGGCCAAGAAAGGTAGTGTGTCTGCCATTTTGGATGAACCCATTTATATTACAAGCACATAGGTGCTCTGTAGATGAGACAACTCGTGTTTTGTGTATGGTGCTTAGTAAAAATGTTCTCATTAGAACGAAATGTTTATTTTTTATAATGAACATTTAGCATGTATTCTTGTTGTGCACAGTTTACTTGTTTACTGTTTGGTTTGTTGATCTACCACTGAAGTATTTTAAAGGTAAAACAGTGTAAAACCAGAAATGTGTGGATTTTGAAGTGAATGCATCTAAGCCAGTTCATTGGTATGTTCCTGACATAAATACCCAGTGTGCCAATTTCAGATGTGGCATCGCGAAGACATCTAGTAATTTTGGACTCACAGAGGGACGCAGTCCAAACTCCCAGCGGTGTGAAAAATTATATTGGAGGATTGATGAGAATTGTTAAGGTCTTAAAGGATGTGTTGTTTGGGTTGTGTCTGATCTAATAATTTGATGCTTTGAGGTTGTGAGAGTGTTTTTAGTGCGTTGAGTTTCAGCTGTTACCTGTGTGCCATATAGTTGGGAATAATGATATTCAACGTGTGTTCTGGGGACGCTCTGTTGAAAATGGTTCCCTCTGTTGACAATAAACCTACTGCTTCCTTACCCAAGGGCTGATGTCATAAACGTCATATTAAAAAAAAAGGACTCACTGTGCTCTTGTACTGACTGATCACCAGCAGCCATCTTACTGTCAAATACAAAGATGATTAGCTTGTTCTCCAGAGTATTGTTGCCATGAACAATTTCATTAACAACGGCGAGCAAGCCCTTATACTGCCTTTATCGCTGGCACAGTAAAATGGCCACCGTTGGCTTCATTTACCCGTGGGCTGATTAAGGCCATTGTGAGTCCAGACCTTTTTATAAGATTTTGCAGTTGATATATGCACAATACCAAAAGTTGTAATTGTTTCTCCAATGTGTGTATGTACGTTCAGCTTGTTTCTGGACTCCCTAAAGAGGCTTGCCCAATAACTTCAACAGTCCAGGAAAATTAACAAGCAGAAGATAAAGAAATGAGAGAGAGGTAGTGACTTGTCTTAAATAGTTTTTATTTCATGATCAATACATTGAACTTTAAATTAGTGAAACAATGTTACTGTTACAAACTGTATGGTAAACAATTGGTTTCGATGGGATTCTGCTTGTTCATGGATTGACCAATGTTTGCAAACAAAAATAAATCTAACAAGTATCTGCTGATAAAGTGTTTCTTGTTTTAAATACGCATTTCCCAGTTTTCCCCCGATATTACTAGAATTTATTAAGTGTTTCTCAGAGGTGACAGACACCAAACACTTAAGGACCTTACAGTTTGCGCGACTGTGTTCAGTAAAGAAATGTCACTGAAGTGAGTGTGCTATCGCTGATGGCAAATCCATGTGTTATTAATCACCAGCCAAACTAACTTGCATTCCGACCATGGCACAGTGGTTTAGTATGTGATTACAGTCAGAAAATGCCAGGCCAACATTCCGAACCCTGTCTGAATTTCTGAGACCATTTTCAAACAGTCTTCTGTTTGTACTGGGTCCACATTAAACTCCCCCCCCCAAAGAAAAGAGTAATGAAACAAAATCCACAAGACAAAATTATTTGGTACTTAAAACACAAAGAAAGTTCTCCAAAAACTGAAGTAGAGACACAATGCAAGAAATTGCTGCGTAATATGAATAGTTGCTTCTGCTGAATTGCTTCTTTGTGAAATTGGAAAAAAAACACTCATGCATTGGAAAATGTATACAAGCTCTACAGGTTAATTGCTTTGTATGAAAAAACACTCAATATTAACGAACTTCAGAAGCTGCAGATTTGAGTTCATTGGAAGCAACCTGCCTCCTCCTTGTAACTGGTTTGGTGATACAAACATGTGTGTGTCATCCATTACATCCCACAACTTTACTTCATGAAATTGGCATAAGTGGCAGTTTATCTTCTACAACTCAACATTTGCTCAGATTGGATACCAGCTTGGTTGACCTAAAGTGACAGTGACTTACATGAGCCAGAAGTCACCAGCGCTACTTTGGAGCTTACATCTTTTATACTTTGCACTATTACCGTGGACCCTAAAAATGTCCGCCTGAAATCTGAGAGCAAACACCAAGTTCATACACCTGTGCTCATGCCTGAAACTGTTCAAAGGATTGCATTAATTTCAGGCATTAACCTCATTTCGAGCAGTATGAGATTTAGTGGTTGGAACAGACAGTAAGTGGGAAATCTGCCTCCAAATTACATATTGTGGTTTCATTTCTTAAAATATATATCGGTAATTTGGCTAACTGGTGAAAGAACTCAAGTTTTTCGGGGACTGTCTAAATTATACTTGGCTTGGTTCCACCCTCAAAGCTTTCCCCTCAATGTACTGAGATATCCATCATCCCTGCCTATGTTCCTTCACACCCCCCATCCTCGCCCCACTCTGTTGGATCATTTATTTGGCCCCCCTGCTNCCATCACCCCTGCCTATGTTCCTTCACACCCCCTCATCCTCGCCCCACTCTGTTGGATCATTTATTTGGCCCCCCTGCTCCACCCATCATGTTCCCCAGTCCCCCTAGGCCACCTGCGCCCCCTGCTGCCCCCTGCTGGAACTGCCGTAACATGTTCTGAAGTCCACCTACACCACCTGTGTCAAGGGGGAAAAAAATCACAATTGCTCATCAGATAAAAGATAAGTGAAAAAGAAATTAATATAAATGATCGAGAGGGTTGCAAGCAGACAGTCGAATTGTATGTGGCTGTGAGACACATAACGGTCTGTATATACAATATGAATGAAGAATACCAAATTACAGCCGTCTGAAGTAGAAGACACACAGTGGAGGCAACACCCTAGGTGCACGTGTGATGCCTTGTAACAGGTTTACATGTTTTGTGGAGAAATCCCTTTGTAACTATTCACTACAAAACCTAACTCTCCTAGCTCCTTTCCAATCCATTAGCAGCTTTGAGAGGATTGTGAAGGCTTGGTGAGGCGTCCGGCCATTACAGGCAATATGAGTGTTTTGGTCCCTCCTGTTTTTGCCTCTGACTAAGATTCTGCTGGGATCAAAGTGCCAGGCGCTCCTACTTTTTTGATATATATATTTCGGATCACTGTAGATAGCACGCAGTTCACAGTTTTTTACTTTTGCTTTCTTTAGAATCTTTCTACTTTTTTCTTCACACTTTTTACTCTCTGCGTCCAGAAGATTTTAGGATTCCATCATTTTTTTTTAAAGATTATGAGCAGATTGGATAGGATAACACAAAATGCAAAGCTGACCATCTGCTGGCCCTGAACAATTTATGTATCAATTTACGTATCACCCTGCATATGACTCGCATTGCTATCTATAACTACTTGGGAAAGTGGAGTGATGTTTATCAATGAAATTGCTCAAGGCAATACATACGCCCATCTCAAGTCATTTTCAAGATTGTTTACCTATTTGATGCAGTACTCTGGGGTCCATAGCTTTGGCAATGGACTGGTTCAACTTTTGCATCTGTGCTGGATTGACGTTCTTGGCCATGTCACCTCCTTAGAAAAAAAAAGATACAGGATTTTACACATGAATTTACAAAACTTAGGACAATACATCAGGACTAAACAATTGGTTTACAATGTGTGGCAATAGATTATTTATGGATACCATGTTTATGCTACACAAATGTGGGCCAAGTTCTATGCAAATTTGCAAACTATAGTTGGTCCACAAGTTAATCACTTAATTTCAATGTGCACAAACCAAATAATTCCACTCGAATGACCCTAGTCAAACCATTTGTGTGATGGTGAGCCTGTTTGAGTAACAAGCATTTGTTAACCACTGGTCAATTTTGCCTGGTACCCAAGGTGTATTTTCTGCACAGGTTACCAGGGCAAATTGACCAGGAACTTGCCTATAGTGGACATTCGATCTTGCCAACCGTCTGCAAGCAAATTTCATGCACACACAATGGAATAACTGGTCAAGCATTGGTCACTCCTCACCTTTGCCCTTGAAGAGCCCTTTGATTCCACCCATCTTCTTCACCATCTGGGCAAACTTCTGGTACTGCTGCAGTAACTCTTGCACCTCCTTAGAGGAGACGCCCGCCCCCCTGGCCACACGATGGACCCGCCCTTGGGTGCGCATGAAAAGTTTGGCGCCTTCCCGGCTGTCCAACTCTGTAAACACCAAAAATCAGTTGATTTCTTTACATTTCTACTTCAAAAGTGGTTCAGCTAAGTTCCACTTCACAAAGTTTCTAAGCATGAAAGTGTACTCCTTACACAGAAACAATCTGTTCAGTAAAAACAAATAACCAGCCGAAAAAGTCAGTGTATTTATTGGTTGTCAACAATGCTCTTTTTATTTCTGCTTAGTCCAGACACATCTGCTAAGCAAGATTTTTCTGTTTAATGACCGTACGAAATTAAACCCAAACGAAAATGGTCACACGAAATATGTCTTGATTCTGTCAAGGCAACCGGTAAAGTTTTGGGTTGAACAAATTTCTAAGTGGCTCCCTGAATTTGAACTCACAGTACACAAATTGTTCCCAAATGGGTAGCCACCAATGCAGGCTTCTTCCTTTCACAGACCCTTCCATTTGTTACCTTCATCATTCATGCTATCCATGATTGTCATCAACTTCTTAAGTCTGGCCATCGATTCCTGCTCGTTACCCTTGGAGATGAAATCACTGCTGAATCCTGGAATCATTCCCTGATGAGTAAATCACACAAGAAAAATGAAGATTAAAGAAATTCATAATCAAATCACTCTGAGTTGTCACTTAAAAATTACAAAACTGGGACTGCCTGAAGTCTTACATTTAGTTTGTAATCTTACCTTTGTACATTCACCATCAAATGCCTGTGTCTTCCAGCTTCATTCCCTCTAACCTAGTTCAATATTTGACAAAGAACCTAGGTACTCCAAAAGTACTTGACTACAACGCTGCCAATCACTTGTGTAAGAATACGGGTCTCTCTATCAAAGACATGGCCTGCCCTGTGTTTCTTTAATAAAAAACCCTGTCACTTCTCAAACTGTTCATGAAATGATAACTTGCTACTTATTCCAAATTCCTCCAATCACCCACCATGACACTGAAAGAGCAAATGTAATTTTTACCAGCAATTTTGACTTCGTATTATATACCATTTATTTTCTGGGATAATTATAACTAACTCCTAGAACCACCCACTGAAGTATGGAATTACAACAAGTCTTACCATAATTTGGCCAAATGGGCCCATTTTCATGATATTCTGGAATTGTTCATACATATCTCGCAGCGTGAATTCACCTGAAAATAATAGTGAAAAAGGAAACGTTATGATACTGTAACAAACAGATCCATCAATTACAAAACTTGGATGATATTTGTCCAACTCACAATTTGTTTTATACATCAATGCAAACTCTTGGTCTGAATTTCATGACAATTCATTCATTTACATTTTCAAAGTTACACCTAGCGTATAATGCTACAAGCAACTGCGCGCTTACCATGTTTCAACTTGTTGATAAGCTCCTCATTGTCATCCAAGTTCAGTTCGCTCACTTTATCAATCAAACCTTCGATATCTCCCATTCCTGTAGAGAGAACACAGTCAAGAGTAATAGAGTACCGAAGTGAATACGTCACGCGCACAATTAGTGTGCAAAAGGCATTAGCGCGAGAACCAGCGCATGAACCAACACGCGTGCGTACTCCATTCGTTTGCACTGCACTTTCTGGTTCAGTGATGTCACACTTCAGTACTTAGCCTTCTCAGACCCTTTAAAATCCATTCAGCACTTTTGGGAGAATGTTGCAGGATTGAAAAACTTAAATCAGCCATTTACTGCTCTACATTTTGGTTTGACGCTTCTTGAAAGTGTACAAAATGCTGTACGAGAAGCAGATTTTTAAGGAGTCTGGAAAGTTTCCGGCAAAATTATTGAGGGAGTTATGATCAGAGAAATTGGCATTTTGCCAAGCAACAAGGAGGAGCAAAGGGCAGTGATACTCACTGGTTCACAGTATTGTTGATCTGTTTATATTAATCATTGCATGCATACCGGGGAAAGCAAGGATTTCTCTGACAGCAGCTACGTCCATGTGTTATGATTGCGGCTGAGTATAACACATTTGCATATGTAAACCCCCTGCTAGTGGCTGCCATCATTACCCATTTTTTGTGTGTGCCAAGCTACTTGACTTGAACAAAGATTTTGAAGCAATGAAAGCAAACTAGTCTGGTTCCTGGTTTCTCTAATATGGTGAAGGCTTTAAAAAAGCGGGATGGCAGGAAGTTGTTTCACTTCAGTCGTTCAGATGATCTGTTCTCAGACATTAAGAATCATAGCACACCAGATAGAAGTCCAACAATGATAGTAATTAGTTGGATTTTTCAATGCTGAGGGTTCATGTTTTCAGACCCTGGAAACAATCAACTTCTGACAAAATGCCACTTACAAAACCTTGATGACCTCCACAAATACAACATCTTGAAGACCCAAACTGCAAGGCAAATCAACAAAGAGTGCCTCGTATATTCATGGTGACTTACCAAGTAGTTTACTGACGAATGGTTTTGTTTTGAACTGCTCAAAGTCATCGATGTGTTCACCTGTTCCAATAAAGATGACGGGACTTTTCGTCGCCGCAACTCTGTTCAATTAAAAAAAAACAACCTAAGTTGAATGATTGAGCATCAGGTTTAAAAACAACAGGAAGACTGCTAACTTGAACTCCACAACCCAGTCACTATGCTGCTGTACAAGTTGACTTACGCGCTGAGGGCTCCCCCGCCCTTTGCATGACCGTCCAGTTTAGTGATGATGACTGAAGCGACGTCCACTTTCTCCTTGAAGGCCCTGGACTGGGCTTCGCAGGCTTGACCGATGGAGGCATCCATAACGAAGACCACATTATCTGGATTCTGGGAATAGCAAGACAAAATGGGGTCTTTTTCCATCGTGTGCGTTGCATTTTACACAATGATGGGTTTTAAGTGGCTCAGAAACAGCCCCCAACACACAAAAACAGCAAGAAAAAGAATGACTTCAGTTGCTCCCCATGACTAAATATCCTGAAGAGAAATAATTCGGCATTTCCGAAAGGCGACTGAGACAATACATAATTGCAAATTTTAGTCTACATCTAACCAAAGCTTCACACTTCAGTTTCAGAAACTCACTCCTCAACAATATACTTTGTGGAAACACTAAATACAACTTTAATTTCAACCTCCAGCTGACCAGATCAGGAATTTCTTTCTGAAAGGCTAGCAATACATACAATGGCATTAGACACTTGCAGCATCTCCTCAAAGAGAGAGTCTTCCTGCTTGTGTCTGCCGCTTGTGTCAACGATGATGATCTCAAAGCCTTCATTCTTGAACTTCTCCACGCCATCAGCAGCGAGAAGTACCGGATCTACCTCTGTGTAACTGGAAGATAAAGAAAGGCAAAAAAAGAAATAAGATTGAATAGTAATGGCATGGGCAATGACATGAGACCAAATATTAGCAGCTTGATGACATTTTGAGGCAGAAGAATTTTACAACACAGCTATCATTTTTTTTCAATTTTTTTTTTTAGGCAGTGATGACTCACATTTTTTGGTCTTCAAAGTTAAAAACTGATGAAGAAAACCATTGCTTTGTGTTTCATTATGACTCACCTTCCATAGAAAGGTATTCTGGCTTTTGTTGCATTCTGTTTGAGTTGGTCAAAGGCACCTAACATTGGAAAAAGGGGGGAAACGTCAAAGTCAATTACAAAAACTTCAAATCTAAATGCACAGAAGTGGAACAAGCTATCAGAATTACTTCCCCAATGCTTACTCATGCAAGTGAGACTGCGCTCGATTTGACACTCGAGTGACCTGCCCAGCCTATTACTTAGGGGAGTATCCCATAATATAATGTAAAAACATGGCACCTTAGTCAAACGATGTGAAGGGAAACTTATATAGTACATAATCCTGAAATACAGTTGCACGTGGCAGGAATTTTGGCTCAAGTCACATCAGTTAGAGTAACCAAATAACAAGTCTTGACTCAACACATTTGTGGCACTTGATCAAATTCCACACCACAAGGATTTTTCCATTCTTTTTACTTGCCTGCACGGAATGTATCTGCACAAATTAAACACGATTTCCATCCTTTCTTTTGAAAATGGTACGCTAACTGTCAAGAAAATGAACAGATGAATATCAGGTATCAACAACTCCAACTTGTACAAACGGTGAGAAAATATCCTTCAAGAGAAAGCATAACGTCCTGCAAACTTGTTTTCTGCAGGAGTAGAAGTTTAATAATAATCAACTCACATCCTTCAAATGAAAAGTTCTCTTCTATAAAGAGAATGTGAAAGGTTTTGGAATGATCAGAGGAACTAGATCAAAGTTAATGAAAAGTTAACATGTAGTTCTTTCCTCAGCCAAGGCTTCAAATAACACATACAACTGCGGGCAATAGATTTATTTACCAGCTGGCAACCTCTGTTGGCGGACATGTTAATCACGCCATGTCTGACCAGACCTTACAAATCAACACTGACTGAAACAGACACTTAAATGCAGGTCATTAAGATATCAAATAGGGCACTGGGTCATTTCAATTTGCTGAAAACTAGGTGTCACACAGTACCACGAATTGCTCCTGCTGGAACAGAAAGTATAGCCGCGTCCAAACATTGTGGCTGCGGCATGAAACAACACAAGCGACTATGGAAATCACTGTCTGACGGCTGAAGTCAAGTCCCATAGCCGCTTGTTTTTCAAGTGTCTCTTTCAGACCCTTCCTTACCTTTGTACACGTTGTCGTCTTACCGCTACCCTGCAGCCCAACAAACATGATGATGTTGGGCTTACCCTTCAGTGGGGTCCAGGCTTTCACCCCGGGGTCGATCAACTGCAAAGTGAAACAAACAAAAAAGGAGCAAGAATTAGACAAAGAAAAGTACTGAGGTGTACACGTCTTGCTTGATGTAACACTAAAAACAAGTGCAGTATAGGACACAAACACTCAAGTGTCTTGATTTTGTCGGGTTTGGTTTTGCTACTGTGCAAGTCACCCGTACACAGCAGAGACCTATCCATATCAAATGACTCAAACTTTGACACCGTTGATCTGGTACTTGGTAAAACTTCCTCCTGAATTCTCCACTTGGCAGATTAACAAGGAGGCCTTGAGGACAGTGGGAAACTAATTTGATTTTAGGCTTTGTGGCTTTAGCTTTGTTGAAGCTTAACGCATTCTGTCTAGTCACATGGCAGTCATTACAGTGACCCCCTTACAGACACAACTATTACCTATTGAACTTGTTAGGATAAGCACCGTTTCTAGTACAAAAGCCAAAGGGGGTTGGGGTTAATATATCTTCTGTGACAGCGCCCTCTTCCGGTCATGCATAAGAGCATGTTTACCTTGACTAGCTCCTTGAACACAGCTGTCTGGATCATCTTTCTCTTGTTCAGCCCGCCAGCCATCTCTTCAAAGTCGATGACGGACTTGACATTCTCCCTCAGCTGCTTGACCAATCGGATGTTGACGTCTGCTTCTAGTAAGGCCCGACATACTTCACTCAGCATAGAGTTCAGTACCTGGATAATGACACAAACATAATCAAGATAAAAAAAGTTCATAAAAACCTTTTTCTTTTCAGATTTTCCCTTTATTAATCTGTTGTAGGATTTTGGTGAAGACCTGAGCGCAAGTCACAAAATTTGGTGTAAGCATTTCAATTCAATTTCTCTTCCCAGAGAAATTGCTCATTGCTCTTGAATTTATTACAGGTCCTGAAACAAAAGTTCTGAAGTTGGAACCTGATCTAGATAGACTATTCTCAGCTGAGTGGCTTTTTGTCAAGATTTTTTGCTAAAACAATAACGACTACAAATTTTAACTGAAGAAAAAATTGCCAACATCGGTATTAAACAAAAGTAGTTTGAATCAATCTTTAGGTTAGCAAAATAATTTCACTTACATCTTCGTCTATGATGGTGGCATTACTGAGAGACTTCAGAGCCGATGTAATCTTACGGCCCAAATCTGCTAACACCATCTTGAACTACAATGTATTACTGCAATGCTGGATAACTTATTTGACTGTCACTTCAATCACTCTGTATACCATGTAGTTCTCTGGAAAGAAGAGAGAAAAATATACAACTACATTATAGTTCTACAGTACTAGGACTGAATATACGTTAAGAAATCATTATTCTTCAAATATCTGTGATTGGTAACAGACAACATCTTAAACGATTGGAGCGAGGCAGACTTCGGACTCTACAGTTCTGGGACTAAGCAGTGATATTAAAGCAAATAAGCCTACATGATCATTCCACAGTTAGTTACAGTTGAGATCTCTCTTTCTCAGTTACCCTAGCCAAGGCCCTAGGGCCACGGCAGAGTTAGTTTTCAGAATTAGTTCCATTTGCAGACCCTACTGGACATCCCATACATTTAGGCCTAGGCCTACCCCTGTCTCAGACTGGCATGACTGGTCTGAAAAGTTCTAAGGAACTACTTTAGGAAGGGTTTTCCAGTAAGTAAATTAACGACTAGGCAATTGGTGTTTTTCATCTTAACTTGAACTTTTCAAGATATGTGTTTGCTTCCTGTTTGCTATTAAGTCGCTGTAGGGGAATAATTACCGGCGTCCATATAGAACTCTTTCCCCAAGCTTAAATGCAGAAACATTTTCACGAAATAGTTTCAATATTAAATCACACTATGACACACAATCGGAAAAAAACGAGGCCCTGTGGATTTAATCAGGCATGTCTCACGCTCACCTGTTTTCTTAGACTTGCTTCATTTTGCCATATAATCATGGAGTCACTTATCTCTTTAGTTTTCCAGACGTAGTCATTAAACATGTGGAAAGAGAGGCAAACAAAACCAAAAATATGGTTAACAATTCGCTCTTTTTCCGATAATGCGTGTACAACGTAAATGGATATGTTGTAATGAGAATTTCGGATAGGATTTGAAGCATTGTTGATAGTGCAATATGACTTTTGGGTAAGCGAAAACTGCAACAGCAGGATATTGAAACAAAAAAGTGTAGTTTTATGCAGTTTTAAGCATTGTTTTTGCACAATTTTATGTTTATTTCAATTTAATATGCATTGTATTTTTCCGATAGCACAAATTTTGAAGTAAAGAATAAAAAACTTTGAAGCCCTGAAAGTAGCCTCCCCCTTTTGGCAAGTGAACCAACCCAATGGCAAACATATCCTGTGTCAGCTGCAATGTTCACGTGTCACATCACAAACTACAACCGCATGAGTTTGGCCTGAGCAAGGACACAGAAAGAGTGACTTAACCACTGTTAACATAGTTAATATCTGTCATTGCCTATGGCTAGTCGAGTTGTAATTGTGCCTGGAAATGGATGTGGAGAAGTTGAAAAGTGCAATTGGTATGCATGGGCCCGCGATGAAATAAAGAAGGTTTGTGCAAACACATCAACAGTGGGTCTGGTCTGAATCTGACATGTCTGATTGAACTGGATCCCGTCGAGTGGTCATAGCCCCATGGTCCTACTTTAGCACCTGCCCTAATTAGCATGATTAGCCAATTAGGGTTATTTATGTTACGCCCCAACTATAGTTGGGACAGTCCCAACTGTAGTGCTGCAGTTGGGCTGGCCCAACTATTGTTGACCAATGTCTATGGCAAATGTCTCAACATTATCCAAGTCAATGTGTCCCACACTTTGACACTATTCATCTAAAATGTGGCACTTCATCTGTTCATCTAGCCCTATGACCAATGACATGACATTTGTAAACAATATGACTTTGGCACATGCTGGGCACATCATGCACACAGGACCTCTCTGCTGTAGTTAGGCCAGTTGGGTCGTAACATTTACAATCTTTATGCATTACATATAGCACAGAAAGCCAGTGTGTGCTACCATTGGCAATAGCATGTGCCTGAGGAGTTTGTTGCGTCGTCCGCTGCTAGAGACATAGGCCTTGTGCCAGGGTAACCCTGTGTAAACATGGACAACTTTATCAATGACTTACGTTTGCAGAAAGTTCCTGTCGCTTTGGAAAGATTTGACTTTTAAATTAGGCCTAATAATACCCCCAAAATTTTGGTCGTAAAAGAACCTTCTTCTTATAGCTTTTATGTGTGGTGTGGATGAAATGCTAAGTTCTGGTTGGAATATTTGAATGAATTCTGCCAGCCATGTCATCAAGTGGGAGGTGCACAGACTTAGAGAAATTTGCTGACTATTGTTGGGACTGTCCCAACCAAGCCTATAGTTGGGACAGACGATAGTTAGGGTGTGTACTGACAAGCATGATCATGAGCAGAACGAAGGAGAAACTTCCAAAAAAAAAAAGCAGTTTAACTTAAGGCCAAGAAAGATGGTGGGTGCAGTCGGTGCACCGAAAGAGAGCATGGAACAGAACAGGTGATTACAGTCACTTCGCCCCATTTCCACGTCGCCCCAACCTATTCGCCCCTAACCACTTCGCCCCATCCCCATTATGCCCCATCTCCACATCGCCCCATCCCCAATTCGCCCCATTTCCACTTTGCCATCCATGCTCATGTGTGTTACAGGCCTCTTCAAAAAATGGTCGAGAGGGGAGTTCCACAAACGACATGTAGTTATTTTTGAAAACTCAACGGCATTAAATTAATGTCGACTGCATTGTCCATTATGGTGAACTAATACATATGGTTGGACTAGCATCGGGTTATTTCTCATCATGTACATAGAGTGTACATGTACGGTCGCCATGGCATGAATAGACTGGTTGCCACACTCCATCACGCATTCTCTTACATGGGTGCGCTTTGCTCACGTGTTTATACCACAGCGACAATGAAACACGAAGAAACTTTTATTTTTCTAACAAAAATTTGGGTCCGGCTGTCGGGAAATCAGAAGCATTGTTTTGGCCTCTGAAAGTTGGGTTCGCCGATCGTTAGTTGGGTACTCAAACGTTGATGTTTTTACTTTTGGCATCTAGGCCTATGCCTCTGTCACTAATGAACAGAATGAAGAATAATCAGTGGGGAGAAGTAGAAATGGGGCAAAGTGGTTAGGGGCGAAGTGGCATAGTGACCGACACCTGGTGCTATAGATGGCACTGTAACAACAGATGGCAGTGCACTCTATTTATTTGCTTCATGATTCACTGATGACACAGATCAACCAATCGTGTCCACCATTTGGGTTGATTAATGGTTAGACTGGTATGTGTGCTGTTGAAACCATGGAGGTGTGTCTGTCTTCCCCATGGTGAAACACACAGCTATGTGGATGGGCCTAATAGTTTACATTTAGTCCCCATTTGTGTTCCAGGTCGAAGGACTTGAGTGTACTTTAAAAAGCATGCCAGACCCAGGTAATTCACTTTCTTACTCTTTTTCTGATATTTTGTATTTGTAATTTGCGATATAAACATAGCACAGAGGAATACTGTAATTCTGTTCACTAAAACATAAAGATACTGTCAACAGATATAAAATTTTCAGAATGGTTTATTTCTTTATTACTTCTTACACTCTACGGACATTGATGGTATTTGCAGGGCAGCTGATACCTATATTTTATTTGACTCTTGGACAATTTCCAAGAATTAAGTTTACATTTGAGAAGTCAGTGCTCTTATAATTTCAGTGTTTGTTTGTTTTTTTTCTTTGTAGTGATTGCCAGAGAGACTATCTGGATTCCATTCATGCATGACCAGCTCTGTTGTGATGAGAAGACCATTATTGTTGGCCACAGCAGTGGAGCGGCAGCAGCGATGAGGTTTATCAGATACAAATGTCTTTGCCGTATCTTCCTGGTCTAGTTTCAGACTCGAACAGTCAAGCACCTGCTGTGTTAGCTATGCAGTGTTCCAATCAATTCCATCTTGTTCTTGTCAAATTAGCTTCCCGTGATTATTTTTCAGTGTTTTCAATATGTCTACCTCCAAGGCCAGGAGCGCTTACAGGGATTAGAACAACACAGTGCATTATTTCAGACCTGTTGTACATGTACGTAACCATAGAATAAGGACTGTTACCAGCCAATACTGGAGTGGTACCATTCTCCTGAGGAGTGCACTTATTACATTCTTCATTTGAAAGCCAGTGGTGTTGTAATTGGCAAAAAGAAAGAGTATCTTGTGTTTTAGAGCTCAGGAAATGACTGCGGTGTCACCACAGTGTCTCCTGAGATTGGTCTCAGCAAAACCACCTTTGTCTTTGACAAATTCTGTTGAAGAGAAAGGGTTTTTCTCTCTTAGTTATGCAAATTGGGGGAATAGAAACGTGTTAATTAGTACTTTTCCTTCTGTTTTTTACATAGATATGCTGAGAAATACAAAATTTATGGTATCATTTTGGTGTCTGCATATGTTAATGACTTGGGCGTGGAGAATGAAAGACAGAGTGGTGAGTCTCCCTAGGCTGATGAAAAAATGTCAAGCACAAGAAAGAAATGTGTCTTTTGTTACAAACTGAAATCTCTTAATGAAGTTTTCTTTTGATTTGCAGCCTTGAAATGAGACAATGAATGAAACATGAGTTTCCTCATACCCAGTTTTTCCTTGCTTCATCTACTTTTGCCAGGATACTTCAGTCGGCCCTGGGAATGGGAACTGATGAAGAACAACACCCAGTTTATCACTCTGTTTGGCTCAACGGATGATCCATTCATCCCTTGGTCGGAGATGCAAGTCATCGTCGACAACCTTGACCCCGAATGCCATAAGTTTGAGGAGAGGGGGCACTTCATGTCAAGCACATTTCCTGAACTCGTTTGCGCAATCCAGAAGCTAACTACACATTAATACAACCACTCATGAAAGAACGGCTGGTCCATGCTTATTTGGAGTGAGCATGATTCCGCACCTCATGCTCATTTGAAGCTGGCGGCAATTAATTCAAGGCCTGTTTTTTTTTTTTATGAAGGATATGCTGATCCATGAAATGTTAACCCCTTTTCTTTTGCTTTGAATCCGAAGATGGGTTTTTATGCTGCCGTTTCTATTCAGAGTTGCTATACTACAATTTATCACAGGGTTTGTGAAGTAAGTTGGGCATACCATGGTTTTTGAAGCATTGCGTAACTTGAGTGAGGAATCTTCACATTGTTAAGCTATGAGCTCCATGCACTAAATGAAAGTGGTGCTATGCTAACCTAAAGAGCTAAGAGAGGGGCTTTGACGATGAACACTTGATGCTTTCACAGTGGAAGAGCCGGTGTCCTGACTTCACGTATGCTGTGGACATTGGCATATAAGTTCCTCGGACAGTTAATGCTGATCCCTAGAACATACGGATGATTGATCAATTGATGATAGCAGTAAATTCCCCCCACTCCAAATGTAAAGGTAGTATTTTTGTAAGGGGGGTGGTCTCAGTACATAGTATGTATTGGTGTTGTAGCAGTAGTTTGTATTTAGATAGTGCTCTTTCTGTTTCCTTGGAACCCCAAGCTATCAGCATCTGGTGTAACATTGCTTTAAGTATGGACTGCTCCTGCATTTTATGAGAGAGGAGTTTAGTGTCCTTGTCGTGCATGAGAACACCTGCACAGTACCTCCACAGGCAGGACTTGAGCCCACAACCAGTTGCCGGCAAGATCTTATGTGACCTTGATGCGACAGGTCACTCTGACTGTCTGAAAGTTTTGTGCGGCAGCGAGGGATGATGTATATACTTGATATTGGTATGGTAGCTACTGACTAGTGGATGTCAGTGAATGCTCTTAGATATGCAAGTTATTGCTAAAACTTGTAGACACAAGAATGAAGATTGAAGACACTGCATCTCTGTGAGTGTTTGCTCTTTACTCTGGCAAATCTATCATTATTTTGAAATGAGAGACTTGGAGACGCAGGTGGCAGCAGACAGACCAGACCTTTTTTCTCAGTCTTGCACATGCTTAGAACTACACAGGCATTCTTACAACAATGCACATATGCTCAGAACTGGTAAAAAGGACCAGTATGTTTGCCGCCACCAAGTGTCTCAAAGTCTCCCATTTCACTGTTGCAACTACATCACCTCATTAGATAACTCTCGTAAGAAGCAATTTTGAAAAAAAAAATGGCAAAAAATATGTGACATTTTTTAATGCCTAATAAGATCATGCACTGGCGTAACAACAGTCAACAGGTACAAACTTGTTGCTTGTTGAATTCAAGTATGTATAATGTTCTTAAGAAGTACAAACTTTTTAACAATAAAATTACCTTTGGAAAGTACCAACATCTTTCTGTTTCTATGAGTATCTTGATTTGTGTCCTCAATCAAGAAACAGGGAAATAGACCTCATCCTATGGTCTTTTGCCCAATCATAGCTGTGATTTAGTCTGACATGCGTGAATAAAAGTCTGACTTGCATTGCTGTGCAGTCTGGCGTGTAGAGAATGTGCTAATTGTCCGTATGCTTGTTGGATAGGGCTAACTTGATTGCTCTGTTGTTGGAAATGTATAGCACTTTTTTATGCAAATGCACTGATAAGTGTTTTTACTTCATGTTGTTTTTTTTTGTTTATTTCTAGAGTGGAGTGGAGTGTGTGTTGAGAAATATGCCTGATCCAGGTATGAATTGAATTAAATCTTTAGATTCATACAAATACCACAAGTTAATTCGGAACTCAACTTTTACTTTACACGAATTTTGACCAATTCATTGATTTCTGTGAAAACCACGTCAAATTTTTGAAAAAAGTAAAGGCAATTTTGAGTCAACAGGTCTTACTTTTGTTGTACTCTTTACAGTATATTTGTATTAAATTTCAGATGTTGCCAGAGAAAGCATATGGATTCCTTTCATGCGTGATGAGATGCATTGTGATGAACAAACACTTATTATAGGTGATTGCTCTGGGGCCGAGGCAACAATGAGGTATGTTAATGGAGAGATTCCTGATTTGAAGAACTCAAACTTTCAGGAGGCTCTATGAGGCTCTCTGGAACTTTTTAGTACAAGCACCGAGTGGCTTCAAATATTGTGTCAATATTTTCACCATATGGTGTGTTTTGCTCCAGTGGTGCAGAGTTTAAAAATAACTCGGTTTCAAGAAAATAGGAATTGGAAACTAGATAAAAATGATCCAGGTTCCTGTTCATGTTAGCCGGCCTATATCGGACATAAATCTTTCCTGGTAACCTTTCTGGAAATTCCATTTCCGTAATTCAGGTATGTTGAATCCTACAAAGTGCACAGCATCATCTTGGTATCACCCTGTGTAACAGATCTCGGAGAAGAAAATGAAAAGCTAAGCGGTAAGGAGCACTCCATCTCATTGGTTGTTTGCACAAACTATAGAGGGAGTGTTCATGTGCCCTAAAGAGAAGGAATAAAAAGTGTTACCAAACTCTTGAGTGGGCCCAAGCATTGTTTATCTGCTTGCATCAGTGCAGACTGGCAAAGGTAAAAAGTGTGGCACTTCCTGCTCTCTGGATAACAGGATAACCTCTGCCTCATGCAAGGACATCAGTGACAGGGAATCTCTTTTCCAACCATTGCAAGGAAACAAAGACCTTGAACCTAACCAGAAATTACCAAGTTTGATCCATGAGCACTTTTTAACCACTGGTCGATTTTGCCTGGTACCCAGGGTATAGTTTGTGCATAGGTTACCAGGGGATTACCAGGTTACCAGCGATTAACATGGTTGCTGAATTGACTTTCCCATGGCTGACCCAGGGTGAAAGGAAGTAAAATCCCCCAATGAAAGTTCAAAGAAATTAATCAATACCACTGAGTGCCCCTGAATGTGGTGATGGTTTGAGCAACTCTGCTTATGATTTTGTGAATGAGCTATGTAGGTTGGCTTCAAACAATTATTCCAGATCTGTGTGAAATTTATTGAACTTAAACCCCTGAAAGGAACTTTCCAAAGGTAAACTCTTTTCCCTTCCAACCACTTTGAGACTAAAACTGGGACTTCTCTTTTAACTCACAGCAGCATCTTATGATTGAAATGAAATGCCCTCCTGACCCAACAGGCTATTATGACCGCCCATGGGAATGGGCCAAGATGAGATCCAACACCCAGTCCATCACTGTCTTTGGCTCCACCGATGACCCTTACATCAAATGGGCCGAGATGCAAGAGGTGGTGGACAACCTCAACCCTGAGCTCCACAAATTCCACGACCAGGGTCACTTTGAGGTGCAGACTTTCCCTGAACTGATTCCAGTGGTCAAACGGCGGTTGAATAGTACTTGAGCTGTAGGCAGGTGTGGTCAAAATAAGAGGATAACTAGCATGAGCAATGTATGAATGACATTGTACCCCCTCCCCCCATGCTCAGAGGCGCATTGACGTGACTTTTTGCCCTATGCATACTCATACCTTGGGTTACATTTTAGATGACAGAAGTGATCTAGTGAAATGTCCCTGTACACAGCTCAAGAGGATTTGATGAATGCAGCACTGGGCTTGACGTTTGTTTGGAGGAAACTGTACTTTTGGGTCAGTGAAGTTCAAGGAACACATTCTAAGGTTTTTTATTTTAATGCTGTGCCAAAGGTTCACAAAAAGTCAGTGCACTTGAGGTGGAATCCCTGGATCCTTCTTGCGTCAGATTTTGTGTGTGAAAGCTGCAGGTGGATAAATCATAGCCTTAATGTTTGAAATATCAGGTCATGTGAATAGAGATCTGGAAAACTGATGTTTTCACATTCGCTTTATAAACCCGATATGCGGGGGTAGTGTAATATCAGTCAGTGTGGGTATGTGAGCTTAATAAACACCTGGTACATTGAACAACACTGACGGGAAGAGGGCAATATTGAGATAGACAAAACAGACATTTCAGTCTTGAACTTGCTTTGACAACTTGGTTTATATATCGTGGTAGTGTTCAAAAATTAGTTTTTATCAACCTAAAACAATCCAAGTTTTGCCAATCGTGTGGCAATAACAAAGTGATTAAGAGAATTATTTGCCTAGGCAACAAGATAGCTCCCAGGAAGCATTCCAATTACAATTTGTATACACCATTCCAAATTCATTTGAAAGCTACAATAGGACGTTAGGACAATCAAATGCAGTAATGTCAGCCTGGTTTGGGAATACAGTATGTTAAAATTAAATCTTCATTCGTTGGTGAGAAAAACTTTGAATAAATGATTACAAGCATTTAATGTCGAGTAAAATGTACGATATAAATATTCTAGTTCCATCAGCACTTCAGTATAATCTATCAAGTAAACTTGATAAAAAGGGAGGCTCGGGTTAGAAAAGTTTGGATAAGTTATGAGACGCTCGTCAACCCTCCCTTTGATTATTCTTCTTCGGAAAAATTTCTTGTAAATTTTTCAACCAATTAGTTTTTAATCAGTGCATGAAAAAACCATAGACAGTGTCAGGAAATGGATCCTTGTGCATTTTTTTAATATACCCCCTTCAAATGAAGAATTTACAGAAAGTTATAAGGACTCGAAACTCAGCTTTCTCTGCTGCCTTTGTTTTCAGGTTACACCTCATTTCTCACGCTATCCTGGGCACAAAAGGCACACCAGTGCACAATTTGATAGAAAACAATACTGTGTTTCTTCTGAAATGATTTGAGATGTTTATTTGGTCCACAGAAAGGCACTGTGTAGCCAGCATTGCTAAAGCAGAACCTAAACTCAGACCAGCCATTGAAACTTGTGACAATCAAATGAGCGAGTTTGATATGCAATCAGTACATACACAAAATGAAGTGTGTCGTAGATTATTCATCATCTATGCATGAATACAGGGTTGGCCCTATCAGGGTAAGCAAATTCTCACATGTACTGAACATGTTCAAACTGGCATTCCTGGCGTACTTCCCTTGTATGATCGTGCCGTTTTTGACACACCAAAATGGCTCACTGAACTGAGATTTTGTGGGAATTCATCATCGTGCAGCTCTAAAAAAAAGTAGATAAAGCATCTCTCCTATTGAATAAAGTACTTTGCCCATTGTTGTACGTGCAGTCCTGTCAAGAGATTCCAAGAAAAACAAACTAAATTAAGACTTGAACAGCCAGCTGACAATAGAAAGTTCTTCAGATGATTGGTAAGACATCTTTACTAGTAATAAGGGAGTGTTGAGTTCAAGTCCCAAAATACTGTTTAGTGAGTTGAATAAGCGCCAAATGTTACATTCAGAATAATTTTCATACAAGTTGACAAAGTTTGAAAAACCATCTTTTGGAACCTAAGACATCTTATAAGCTGATTTTTCCATACACATTTTCCACAGCTATTCTATTTACTGGTGTAGAAACTATTTTACGAAGTTACAAATATTTTGGTTGCTTTTTTTTTTACGTGTTTAAATACTGCAGTAGATTTAGGGGTGGGCAAAGCAAGAAAGTAAAGCTTTTTATTGCCTCAGTGTCGATTCAGGAAAACATGGTGATTGCAAGATTTAAACTTCATACATATACATCATTATTTCCAATAACAAAACGTTATATAATTACAAACACCCTGGACGTGATATCAATCGGTAGCCACCATCAGTGATTAACCTTTTAACAAATAAACACTGTCTTTGCAGACTCTCTTAACTGCTACATGTACATGTTTCCTTATTCAAATTCTGTTATAGCTGATTACATGATCTTGCAACAGAAAATCCCCGCATGCAGTTCTTCACTGCAGAGAAGAACCATCCAGTCATCATCCGACATGGAAAATTAATACATTTATTTCTAATTACATGTATGTACATATATTACAAAAGCCGCAATGTGCTACTGGGATACAGAAAAAAATTTAGTTAATGTGAAAAATTCTCAATGATAATGTAACAAATTGAAATTTAAAATTTCATAAACAATAAGATACTTGTATACACAGTGCATTGTAAAACACTCTTATTTTCCAAAGGATGAGACAGTTGATTAGTGGCAACCAGCATTTTGATATTTTGGAAAGAATTTAGGATAAAACTGCTTTAGTGAGTTGCGGCTGATATGCAGGCACCAGACAGTTAGATCCGTAGCTTAACCTTGGACAAACAAATTAAAGATGCACGTCCGTCAAGTGGGCTTCTCTTAGATTGATACTTAAAGGAATGCACTTGGTTTGGATGTAAAATAAATGTAATCTTTGTGTTTGTAGCGAGAGAGATATGCACACTGGTGAACTTGGGGGAAACAAAGAAAAAAGGTTCCGAACATCTGAGAAACAATTGACAATAAAGTTCTGTCCCACATGGCTACCAGGATTCACCAATGTAACCAGTGCAATAGATCTTGGGACTACGACAGCAAATTTAAAGGTAGGAATTGATTCTTATATTTGAGGGGAGCCGCACCAATTTCATTAATATGGGTAATTCACATTAACAGTGCAGTTCTTGCAAGAATTTTTTAAATCCAAAATTGAATTTATGTGCACAATTAAGAATCTATGTTGGACTGTCTCAGCTGATGTGCTGTGACAATACCAGAGTGTTCAAAGTAAACTCCATCAAAAAAGATTTTGCAATCGCAACAGGCGAAACAAATGCCCTCCAATATTAAGTCTGTCCATAAAATGCGACAGAATTTCAACACAAGATTTTATATACAGTCTTTTGTAAGGAATATAATGTACAATTAAGGGACGGATTGGAGCAACTTGGTACAATTACAACATAACACATCTTCCTGCTGAATATAGAATTAATTCTTTTAGAAACCTTTCCCTTGCCAAAGCAGTTACAGTCTTCTGAGTGAAAGAGCTTCACTTCATGCATCTTAGTTTTTCCTCTCCAAAAAAATTAAACATTCAAACCCCGGAAAATAAAACAAATTTTTTCAACTCTCTTTTCTGGGGATGTACATTAAATAAAAGCAATTAAATGATGTCGTTACAAGAAATGCACAACTGCGTATCAATAACAAATCAATTAGAAGAGTGCTTGATATTCTGTTGTTTAGAAACCAGCTCGTCAACTGTTGACTAATTATACAAAATACTCAAAACCTTAGGCCCTTAGGTATTCTATATCTTTTAATTTGTGGCATATGCATTATTAAAAATTAAAACTAGAGCTTGTCTTTAAAGCTGCAATAAATCACTGCTTCGTGGTCTAATCGGTCTGAACAAACAAAAATTACCTATTCATCAAAAATACTTGTACAAAAAGGCTTTTCTTGGGTCAATGTTTTGTCTACTCAGTGAGTTTTCCTGAGGATTTGTATTTTTAATATTTACAGAGTTTTTCTTTTAAATCAACTACTTGAGATGTGTACAACAGGAAACAAATCACTATGCAATGCTGGCCTTTTTAAATACAGAATTGCACATCTGTGACACCTATTATTATATAAGTAATTAAAGTTTACAATTCTCATTTTACAAAATAACTTACAGATACATGAGGTTGATTCAGGCATCACTTCATCAATTTACTTTCCACACTTGGAAGGCTGACAGAGTAATAACAAAAACTCTGGTATTTGTAAATAACATTTACAAAAAAATTCATCTTCATCCTACCCTGTGTCTATCATCAAGAATGAAATTACAGGAAAATGCTGGACGACCAACTTGATATTTTCTTGACATTGAGCATGTCCAAAATATTTCAAATCACAGATTATGGTAAAAAAAAATCAACAAAACCTAGAGCAGAAAATCTGTTGCGATTCTTATCCCATTAGTCAAAACTGCCACCTTCTCATCAGATTGCAATAGCATTGTCATGCATGCACAACACTTCTGATTGTGCACACAACAGCGACATGCTTCACAAGACTGCACCCCACAATCTGCTTGTCTTCCTGTTTAACAACTTGTAAACAAGGAGGCCAAAACACACGCAATGAAAAAAAATCCTTTCTCTGATTTCTAAAGGAAAAGTAGTGAATTAAAATGTCTTTACCTATGGTAACTGCAATACATGCAAAGCGGAAATTCATTAATTACCAGAAATGACTTCAGCAGAATCGTGGTCCACTTGACCAAGGCCAAAGTTCTCAAAGCAGGCAAACAGAATCATGGGATAAATCAAAATGTGGCCAAAAATCTAAAAAAAAATTGTCAGGCACACACATGATGATAAATGCTTCTGCAAGCCTTTCATTTTGAAGTCACAAAATAATAACACAATCTGAACATTGCAACTGCAGCTATGGTAAAAAATCTATCAAAATAGATTTTTGTTACATATGAAGACTTCTCATAAAATGTGCATATATTTATACAGCATTGAAGATCAACTTCAGCTTCCAAAGACAACCTTAGAAATACACATTATCCTAAGCAGAGAAGTTTCTGTAACTGGTGAAGATGTTTAGATTTTGCCACCTTTGGATCTGGAGTTATGCAAGAAAAATTACAGCTTTTCACAGCGAGAAGAAAAAGTCTAATTCAAGTGGAAATTTTTCCCTCTTTCTCAAATACTGTTTTTACTCAGGCTAAAAATCTACCATCTGAATAGAGACCAGTACTTAGGAAATCTGTATTATTTCTGAGAAGATTTACACACATTTTTCAGTAACAAGACTGGAAAGATTTAGAAAAATCTTGTTTCCACAAAAGGCATTCAGAGACCTTAAAATCTGTCCAAGTCTGAAAACTGCTTCTAAACAGGCAGAATCATGGCTGGTTGATAGCACTTTTTACATGCATGCAACTTTTCCTCGGATCAGCTGATTTCCTTGTTTTTCACTTCACACTCCTGCCACTGAAAATTGAGAAACTCTGTACAAAGTCTTGTAAAGATTGGAATTTCTTGTTTTTCTTCCAAGTCCAAGTTGCATGCTTGTATTTACCAACTACAAGTGCTGTGCACAATCTGTGGAACCTTTGTCATTGCTACGGCTGAAAATAATGTGTTCCTAAGGAAGTCGCTGGCTGGAGTGGCTCAGCTGCTTTCCATAGTCATGTGTGTTACTTCTGCCTGTAGCTTGTTAATCAGGACACAACCTCATAAATTTCCCATCACACTCAAACACAATCTTACTACATCCTAAAAAAATTGCGGTAAGATCTTGTACATCCTCGTAAGAACTCAGTGGGAACTGACATCAACGTGGTTATAGGGGTTCATGGATGGGGAAGTTGTGCCAAAATTTGGAGCATTTATGTTGCATGGTCATGGTGGCTTAAAATCGCAGTGACAGCATATTAACAAGCTAACAAAGAACCGGCATACATGTTGTCTTAGCATATCAGCAGCGTAGTAGGATCTTTATAGATATGATAGAAGCACCACTCAATCAAGAAGAATTTTATGCCATCCCAAACATGTTAATGGAGTTTTGTATCATCAAGCTGGGGGAGAGCTGATTGTTTCAGCCAACATAAGAAATGCTCGGAAACACTGTGGAATGATCCGCTTGCATCTTAGCAGAGTTGGGACTCGCGCTCAGTTTAATTATGCCGAGAAAGGAAGGTGAACTTCATACACATGCCGGCCATGCAGTAACAACCTACTACAATCTAGAAAAAAAACCAACTTTTTGCCAAGTTTCAAAGTTTCATCCCTTCCTAGCCACGATTTAATGAAATTTTACAACGGAGCAGGGTCTTCCTGGTTGTCGTCAGAGTGTGATGGGGCATAAGCGCCTACCCAGTGAGAAAACATCAGCACTCAATTCTGCACAGCTGCTTACCAGAAAAAAAGGTGCTTAGCCAATTTCCTGCTAAAAAAAATCAGCCGAGAACCAACACCAATAACATGCATACAGCACATGTCTGGTTACCTACTAAGCTACAACTTTATGTCCTAAGCAACTTGAAGTGAAGTTTACAAGTTCCATTAACTCTAATGTGCCCTTGCAAGCATGTCAGTAAAGCCCTAGGAGAGAAAGACGGGCACTCATGAACTCCAACAATTTCTGGGTGAATGTACAATAAGTTTCAGCACATGCTGTAGCATGTTTACTATTGACTAAGTTTCTACAGATACATGCATTTGAATAAGAATAAGCACGTAACAAAAGTGGCGCTAAACTGACCTCACTCCACAGTCAATTTCTGCTGCTAAGGGCACACTGCAGGCATGGAGACAATATAGACTGTGATGAAAGTTTTCCTCACATTTACTCTATACATTATTCCTTGAGAGGAGATCAAGCTGGTGGCTATATTCCTAAACGTCTTCAAAAGTCAATGACACAGACAGGAGGGTTCACGTAGCCAAAGACGTTGAGCTCAACAAGGATGGCAAATGTGAGGAAGATGGCGTAGAAGAAAAACATCAGTATACCCACTCTCTTTGTCAGTCTCCATTTGTGGCAATGAATGGTGATAATCTAATCAAAGAAAAAGATTGGAAATCCATTTATATCAGAAATAAAATGAGGAATCCTCCCCCATACAATAACCTGAGAAGAGTTTAATCAAAACGTTTCTTGAAGGGTAATCCATTCTTGTCATCGTTTTTTGTGAGCATGGAAGAAAATACTTCTTTCCCCTGACTCCCCCATTCGAAAAGAGTACACAAGAAAGATATGTCAATATCTGTCATTGATAGTCAATTGTTGCTTTTCACATTCAATAAAAAAGTGTACAAAGGCCATTAATTACCCCAGAAATGTTTTGTACACATGTGAAAACGAAGAAAAACAATGGCTGATCCTTAGTGTAAAATGATAGAGAATTGGAAAGGAATCCGAGTTGATGTCTAGAATGCAGCTAGTGCTGAAAACAGAAGAAAACTGTATTTTATTCCAATGACCCACAGCAATATGAGCGTATCAGAGCCAATCAACACTGAGAAGGCCAACTCTTGCTACGTCAACTTCACAAGAGAATTACACATCACAGTAACCTAAAACTGAGTAGACCTAATTTGCACTATCTTCGGGATCTTCAAAGTCAAATTTTAAGAGGAAATAAAGTTCTACAAGGAAAAAACGGCTGATACTGGCTTACAATGAGATAGTGACAATGGGCATGTGAGGCCTTACTTTTAAATTGAAATTACTAACGAGTTCAGTGAGTAAGTGAGATGTAAAAGGTTACTTTGCTATTTAGTAACAATGGCCTCTTAGCATCAATGTACAGAATATGTGAATGTGATCATGGTCAGATGGCATGAAAAACTTTTTATATCACACTTTACATGGAATCTTCAAATATGGACACTTTTTTATGCATGAACCCATACACGCACAGTATAGGTCACGGGATGGACCCACACAAGCAGTCTCCTTTCATAATGCCTGCTCTTCAAATGGGCAGCAACATGCTAATAATTTACCCTAAAAGTACCCCATAGGCAAAGATAACACTGTGACACAGAAAGAGCAGACCCTATCCAGTTCGTAAGTGTGACGTCACTTCAGTTTAAACCACACCCACTGCAGATCCACTGCACATAGAGTTTTATGCATTGATCGCCGTTTACATGGAACCATGGAACCGGAAGTTAACACGCAACTTCGGCGATCGTCCAATGGGAGCCTGCAAATCGTTGCGCATCCACGAAGTCACTTACGAACTGGATAGCAAGCCACAGAGCGCCCTCAAAGGCTTACGCTCAAAGTGAACACACAGACCAATCAGAATACTTACGGTAATTGCTACAGTTGCAAAGAGGAGGATGACAGAATACAAAAGTCCACTGCTGTTGATATTGACCTGAAATGAGCAGCACAAACACAGAATTGTGGTCATTGCAAATAGAGGATTTTCCAGCCAATTTCAACAAAGAAAAAAACATTATATTTCCTCAACATGGTTTCAAATTCATGCACATTTTTAACAGGCTTCTTTTCCACAATTATCACTTCATTCTCCTTTCTTGCAAACAAAGAGCAAATTTTAGTCACTCAATTTAATTTATAGGCATTTAAATCTCCATTTTTGCTAGTTGAAAGTTACATTTCGTCTTATTTTCATGAAATGGTGCTATCAAATTAAGAGTCATCTGAGCACTAAAGATTTGTTTGTGGCATTTTTTTTAACACACAGTCAAACTCTGAGTGTTCAAGTTAGATGTGACACTGCTTAGTTGAGTAGGTGTTGCACATCTTTCTTTCCAATGATCTTGAACGATTTGCATGCTTAATAATCACTGATGTGATTTGAACAATTCCTTTTATCATGATACATCTTTGTGTATTGTCTCAATTTGAATTCATTTGAAATAAATGCAGGACATTTTTTCTTGTCACTGTGTGTACAAGTCCACTCTCCAAATTTCTTTATTTCTGCCGATAATTCTGACCATTCTAAATGAAAAAGTTAAGGCAGAAACTCAAAGCAGGTCTGTAAGTTTAACATGAAAACAACTTTGTTTTTGTTTCCCTGTACATCCATCTATTCACTTTTTTGTCTGCTTTCAAATAAAAATCACGAGGTACAGGCCAAGATAGCTGGTGGATTTATTTACAAGTCTTCTCTGTTTTTCTTCCTAGAAATCCATTTCGCTGTAAGTAAATAAGAATTAGGAAGCACTGTGCGCCAGAGAAAGAATTTGAATCAAAGCATACTGAAACTGTTTGCTTATTGATTAAACTGAATTCTTTCTCAAGCTCTTCTCAAGGCTTCCGATGAATTTGAAAGAATGAAATGACTATTTGAAACAACTTATTTAAGAAACGACTGCTTAAACACTGCTACTGAATGACACTCATTGACGTTCAAAAGCGGATATAAAGGTGGTGCAGTGAAACTTGTCTTTCTCGGTGATCCATGGAGTATTCCACGTCCCCTCTGAGTTTGCCTCAGGAGATTGGTTTTACTATATACACCCCAACTAATCAAACTCTATTCTGATCAAACTGAAAAACCAAAGCCTACTTCAGATACATGCACTTACCCTCCAAAATCAATCAAAACAATGATACGGAAATATTCTAAAAGGTCTTCAGAAACAAAGATTACTTGTAGGTCGGGTTAGAGGTCTTAAATCAGGTTCTATACTTACAACTGATCCATAGTTAATCATGGTAGTCTTAATGAACCACGGTAGAGCCAAACCAAGAAGAACATCAAATACATTGCTACCAATACTGTTAGATACTGCCATGTCGCCAAGCCCTAAAAACAAAAGGGGGAGGTGTTAAAAGAAATGTACAAGTTTCTTTGTTTTTATAATAAAAATGTACAAGTGGCAAGATCACAAGTGACTGAATTCTGAATGGTTTTAAAGGTGTAATCTCAGGCATTGAAAAAATCGGCTGGATTTTGCAAAGGTCTAATCGGAGAAATTAACAATACAGTGCCCTCTATCCGTTTCAATCTTCTAAGAGGTCCACTGATAACTACACGTCCCCACTTACCAAAACCCATTATCTGTAATTTTAACAACAAATTAATGTTTGATATCAAGCACCAGACTACCATTTAAATGGGATGAAACAATGCAGAAGTCCAAGAACTATTTAAAGGTAGGAGGAGCTTTTGGAAGTGGGAGGGGAGTAATCAGATCTTTCACTATGCGAAGGATGTTAAAACTGATCTTTTGTGGGTAGGCCTTCGCCGGGTGTAGGGGACAATTTCTTTTGTTATGCACTTCAGGACTGAGATGTGGGGGACTTTTCATCATCCCCATAACATTTTTGATTCCCACAAAATAGTTGAAATAGCTTGTACTTGTCCCCACAACTATGGAACAAGTAGGTGTGAAGGTGAGTGTCCTGTTTATATAACACACTATGCATCTTGAACAAGGCCAAAAAGGGGAAAATCAAGGCCATGTTGACAATCTCTACAACCCACTCATCAATTACCTTGTCTGGCAACAAGAAGGCTTGCCATGGCATCAGGTACACTGGTTCCAGCTGACAAAAATGCCAGGCCCATAACGGTGTCTGGGATGTGCAGCGTGAATCCAATGAGAGCTACCATCCACACCATGACGTAGGAGAATATGGCGATCCAAATGACTGACACAATAAACGTAGCCATGTACCAGTTTTCAAATCTGCAGAGGGGTTGCATTTCGTGGCATATTAGTTTACCACATCATGAACAAAGGTTTAGACGGAATGATTAAGACAACTACATCATTCAGTTGTTGGACACAACACGGATGCCTTGTGCCATAGGCCTTCATCTTTTCATTGCATGTTCACAAAAGGATGCTAGCAGTCAGATTTTGATAATTTCATTTTCTGTTATCTTAGTGAAGTTTCCAAAGAATCAACCTTGAAAGTTTGTGCTCAGAGGGCACTGAACTTCTTCACAACATCCAAAATATTACAATTTTAGAGCAACAATTTAGATGTAATCGTATTATTTTTCCCCTTTTAACATTTGTTTTGGCTTTCTTAAACTCATTTTTTTATCATATAGGTGTGTTGTGCATGTCTGCATTGCTGAAATAAAACCATTGTCTGCATAGTGCCACAATAACAGTCGTTCAAGGAAAGGATTTCACAAATTTCATAGCAAATGTTATTCTCTTTTTAAGTTACAGTATGCTATTTTGTCAGGTAACTTTCCGAAGAGATTTTCTCCAGGTGGAGCTTGTGTGAGTAAAACATACCTTTTCCTTCTGCAGTCCGGAATTGTGAAGAACATGACAGTACTCAGAGGCAGACATACCAACCATCTGACCACAGCCAATTTTCCCTCTGCAATGAGAACAGTTTACACACCTCATTATCATGAGTATGTAGGAATTATGAAAGCAAATAAAATGGATGTTCCTTGCCCTTAAGCTTATATCAAAACTTTCTATGGTGGTGTAGCCTTCTTGTTGCAAGACAATACGTTCAAAAATGGCAAGCTGAGTGTGCACAGTGATTCATGTGTATCAATCACGCAGAGAGTGCATGACCCAATTTCTACTGAATGAGCACAAATCTATACACTATCATGTGATAATAGGTGCTGGCATACGGATAACATGGTTTCCACCACCTTTGGTCTTCTAAAAATGATTTCAAGGGAGCCTATGGCAGTAACATTTAAAACAAAACAAAAATTGGGACCTAACTTTGGCCCAATTTCATGGTACTGCTTAATGGCTGATTCTGTAGACAGCCTCTGTCTACTTCACAAAGACCATTAAGCTTTTAGCACTGCAAAAACATGCTTAACACCAGCCACAGGAAAAAATTGCTTACATAAGTGCTGCAACAAAAGTAATCTCCATGCATGCACAACCACTACCATGTCCATGCCATGAAAAAATGCTTAAGCAGCACAATTTTCCACTCCAGTAAGCAGAACTTTTCTGCTAACTGTTAAAATGCACCATGACATCGTGTCCTTGATTCCTGATGATTTGATAAGCATGCATGAGTGAGCACACCTGGAATCTGACAAAGACCGTCTGGTGCTTCCACTCGAATGACAGCACTGATTTCCTCTTCGGGCAATTCTTCTTGCTGCATGCTACTCAATCAAGTAGGAAGGAAACCAGAGAATAATATGAATGATGTAGTAACATGAGACACACAGAGGCTACTGTGCAAGAGTTGTGTACATTATAGTTGACAAGTCCTTCTTCTTTTAGTGATCAAACTCCTCTATAACAACATGAAATGGCACAGCGGAAATCAAGCCTAGAAACTAGACGATGTAATCTAATTTCTTGGACAGAAAAACTTGGGTAACAAACACGTTTGTTGACCAAGTCATGTGTCCAAACCTTTACATTGCTACTCATTTTCTGCAGCCCACTGCTAAGTTTGGGGGCTTCGGTTCAATTCCAGCTCATAAAATAGTGTACTTGGAGACATCTACAACATATTGACAGAAAATGGCATCGCATTGTCGGATAGAGCCAGTGCTGGCGATGTCAGAGGCATGGGGGTTAATAATGGTGGTGGTTGACCAAAAACGGTTCTTCGAGGGAAATAAATAAGGTTCATTCTAACCTGTGTCGTTTTGCTGGTATATGTGTCTGGCCCAAAGCACCATTGGAGTCACCCGTAGCTTCTTTCCCAAAGGAATTAAACTCGGCTTCCTTCTGAGCCTCCAATGCATGCTTTTGCTATTGAAAAAGGGAAATTTGAGAAACACTACTTAACTGACTAATGTCAGTTTATCTTTCTTCTAATGATCCAGCAGTGGAAAAACGTTGTTGGATACCATTGCAAGTTGGCAGATTAAGATTGATTTTTGTACTACCTTGCCTTGAATCTTAAATCCCTAACATGTGTGTAAAATCTTATTGAAATTAGGGGATTTAGCCCTGATAGGGTTAAGTTCTATTGACACAATAAAATAGAATTATGATTTAAAAAGACGGACAAGTATGTAATTAAATCTTTCAAACACAAAAGAAAAAACATCCCTTGACATCTTTCACAGTATACATTTTAGCACAAAAATAACAGTGTATGGTAACTATGGATGTTGGCATGGGGTGACTTATGGGTTAAGACAAGTGTCTAGATGTCAGAAAATGCTTACCCTAGATTCGCTTGTTTTGATTTAATATATAACATCTCTTAGTTCCAAACAACTTCTCCAAGCTCTAGGACAACACAGCTTTTCATTAATCAGTTATGGCCAAGACCGGGTCACACCTTGACAATCTAGGCAGCCTATGCCAATGTATGAAAATCTGGTGAATACACTGACATATGCTGAACTATCTTTTTTTTTCAGTTTTTGGCATATACATAGCGTATTCATAATGAGTGGGACATATACATGTTGTACTAGTGACTTACATAGAACATTTTGATAACTGCGAGTTAGGAACACGTTCAATAAGTTCTGTGGTCATCCGGAACATGTCAAGTACGTCTACATACATCAATACGTTTGGACATAAGTTCGATATTAGTTACACACAGGTTTAAAGCATGTTACCCATAGGTTAGAAATAAGTTTTCGGTACACTAGACATTATCTCGATGTATTTTGACTTATGAGTAACTTACAAGTAATGTGTGTGGACTTGTGTCAACGATCCAATAGCTTACCTTCAACCTATAGCCTGCGTATGTGGGACATATGAGCCATATGCTAGCTTACGTCAAAAATGTTATGCACGCACAAAATTTTTCGACGACCTCATCGTACGACAACGTATACCAGCATACTTCAGCATGCTCTTAACGTATACAAAACTTTCCCATAACTTATTCAACCTATGCCAGCGAATTCATCAAATATGTCATACGTCGGTATATGCTGGCTAAATCGTCAAGGTGTGATAGGGCCTTCACTGATAAAAATAAAATACGGCACTGCTCTAAAAATCAAATTTCACCCTTCAAAATATCTTTCAGTTTTATTTCAATTTAAAGTACACGCAAGCACATAAAGTACTTGTCTTGGGTAACTGCATATCATGGGTCATCTTGCAGGGGAAACAAGCAATAGACAAATGTTTTCTCCACATTTAAATGGTTAACATGGTTCCATGGGTAACCAACTATATAGGAAATGATAACCCAGTTCTTAAAAAATCCATGAAACCACACCCCTAGTTGACATTACCTCTGCTATTACTAGCCAGCAGGCTGTCCTCATACGAGTTCGCGCAGGGAACTGCTTGGTAAGCATCAATCTCAGACCAGCATCTGAGAAAGTCAGCCTGGGACAAAGAGTCAAAAAATAGCATCTTGAGTATTTGGCTTGACCCAGCCGCAATAACAAACACTTGCAAACAGTATCTCTAGCCTCACGACATCTAGTGTATCATTTATTACCAAAACTTATTTATCTTGGAGCAAATTCCTAACGGGTTTATATCAGGGAGAGTATACGCTACCATGCTTTATATTTCAAAGTAACTAAAATTCATGCCAGTTATATTTAGATTTCATGTTATGCTGTCAATTCAAAGTAAACACACAGAGATTCTTTACAGTAGATGTACAATCAATTTGCTTTATATTACAATACCAAAATATCATCTTTGTGACTTTGTGTGGCCTACATCAAGCAGAAAAATGCATCATCTGACTTGCTGATACTACCAATATTTTGTGACCTCTGCTAATCTATTGGTGTAACAGAACACCTATGGTATTTCAACACTATTATTGTCATAAATATACCTTCATTCCAGAAAGAAGGCTTCCATATAGGCTGTTTCATGTTCACTTGACCGTTTTAATGCAATGTGAAAGGCGTCATGTTTAACAGACAAAGTACCATACCTCTTCGGGGAATTTGGGCTGTTTTCATCGGCAGAAGGAGCAGGCTGAGTATCGCCGTTGGCTGTTTCTTCTTTTTCTGGTTTCAGAGGGGTAACTGAGGGTAACAAATAGTGGGGGGGGGGCAGAAAAGTGAGTGAAGCTTGTAATTTAATCCATCAGACAATGGCAGGTTTTCAGACAGCTATATTTGAAAAGAATACCTTTCTTTTTTGATGTGTGGACAGACTTCGTTTGCTTTGTATAGTTCTTTTGTCAATGAAATGTTGCAAAATTTCTGTTTTATCACTTTAATTAGTATTTGTCTTTCACCAAAATATGCCCCAATGTTTATTAGTAAGATTGATGTTCCAGTTTGCTTGGTTTATTGCACGTGTATTTCAACATGCTCCTCTCTCTTTCCAGAGTGCACAGAGCAAAAGCCATACTATATTTGTAAGATAAAATCTACAGAAAAATAAACAGGTTCTGTATTTGAAGAAAATTAACTAGTACCATATGTAGCAATAAGAAAGTTCAATATCAATTGGTTGAGTGAAAAAGTTAAAATATTTTTCATCGTGTAACAAATGACATTCAATTTCAAATCATGCTTTGAAATAGACAACAATGGAGGCTTTCAAAACCCTATCTCTAAAATGAAAATATTTAACAATAATAATGGACAAAACAAATTCAGCAAAGATTAATATTTCAAATTTCATGTCTCCTATTTCTTTTGGTATTATGTTATAAGGATAAAAAGTACATGTGACCTACATCTGTGCAGTGAAACAGACCTTAATCACACAGTCAACAAGTTTATTTTTAAACTTAAAGTGTATTGTGCTGGTTAGAGAGGATTGCACTGTCTGGTGCCTGACCTTGCTCTAATTGAATGGAGGCTCGGTTGTTGCAGCTCTCCAGTCTCTTAGCAATCTTCTTGGCCTTCCTCTTCTCCTGCTTCCGGTGGATGTTGTGGGAAATCTTTGGGTTCAACCTGAAGGCAACATGATGAAGAATACGTACACATCAGGAAAGATTGATATCAGCTAAGAATTACATTTCAAATGAGATATGGCATGTCAAAATCAGGCATATTTGGGCCAGAAGACCATTCTGAATTACTACAGACTTTGCTGTTTCAAATGCCGCTTCCTTTTTGAAATCAGATATCTCTAAAAGAAGTTATTAACTTTTTTTAAATTACTTTGTTTGAAGATTTTTATAAAATGGACCTTTAAAGTTTGAATTTAGTTAAAAAGTATTTTGATTACATTTTTTAACATATTGAAAATACTCAAGAGTATCACAAATTTTCAAATCAATCATTGAAAAAGATCCTATGTTGTTTCTCCATTTGTAGCTGTGACAAATTCTGCCTATGTGACTACAAAATCCTGAAAAGAATTCAACTAATTATGCCTTTGCACACAGACCAGTGTAAATGATATGAAAAAATTGTACATATCCAGAAAATCTTTTGAGAGAAAGTTTAGATCCATCAGCAAAAATCCCCTGGGAATACAACTGATTCGATATATTTTGGATGCCAAAAATCTTACGATAATTAAAGTGAGTTCTACCCATGGCTTGGGGCCAATGCATCATCATTTTGACAAACCTTTAAAGGAAAGAATTTTGTTTTTACAATCGACTTAAAATTAACAGCAGAAGTGAACACTGCAAAAATACAAAATCTGATGTCCCCAAAAATCCTTTTATCCTTACTTTTGTGGTGCTTTTTTGTATCATCAACACTTTAATAATTTTTGGGGAGAGCAAATTAAAAAATATCTCAGCAAAATGGAATTAGTCCAAGATTGTATGTTTTTCTTTTCCATGACAACAAAAACTTTGTCAATTCCATATACTGATTGCATTTAGAAATGGTACATAAAAACGCACAAAAATAAAGCACAGTAACCTTTTAATTCTACATCTGCATAAACGTGTTCCTTAAATTTGAACTTTACATTCTGTAAGTATTCCCATTAATAATAGAAAAATCCATATGCTGTCAGAAAGGGAAAAACCTTCTCAGCAATGCTATCACTAGACTAAATATAGATCACAAAGGTACGGTCGATCACAACAAATCTTCCCTTCAAATGTCAAAGCAACAGGCAACATTACATGGGAGATGGGGTTTTTCCCAGAGCTTTTGGAAGCAAGAATTCTGATCAAACATGACATAGCTTTCTTTTTTTGATAAACAGGTCTGCCTCCAACAAAAAAAGGGGAAAAAATCTTGCTTCAACAGAAGTGATGCTTATTTATGACCTCACTCACTTGAGAAATACAGCATCCCAATCCTGGCCTGCTTCCTTTGATGTAAATTAAAACATGTATTTTTCACATCCATCATTCACACTTCATAATTTTGGTGCATCACATACTTTTGAATCCAAACCAAGTAACAACCATGATCATTTCCATGGAGAAAGGATCAGCTTGAATCTGAGAACACTGTTGCTGACTTTTAGATCTATAATGTTATCTCAATCTTCAGGTCAGAGTTCACAAAATCTTGAAATCATATGTTCTCATTATTTTGTTTCAATTAAAAATGAAAAAAAATCATCCCAATAACAAGAAATAGTGTTAAGTAGTTCAAAGGCGATTCAAGATTTATAAAAAGAAGTTCTAGATTTCTTTCTGAATGATCAAGACATTGAAAATGTGACTGAACTTTATTTGGAGCAGGATTATTTTCTATCAAATTTATTACTTTTATCAAATTTATTATTTTCTATCAAATTTATTATTTTCTATCAAATTTATTATTTTCTATCAAGTTTATAAACAAATCAACGAGACACACCAAATGTTGAGATATATCTTTTGTTCCGGATACATCTTTTATGAGATGTATTTCTTACTCATACAATTCAAAAATTCCACTGGACTTCCAAATGTCTGGCCCTTTACTTATGTTCCTTGGCAGCGTATTATGTGACCAAGGTTTTCAGATGCAATAATAATGCATATTTCATCCTGAGTAAGTCTCGTGAGATATGTCCTGACTTCTCCAGGTGGGATCTGACATTTATTTCTTGTCTGATTCTCTCAGTACAAATATTGACCTGCGAGAGAGACTGGTGCCTACGCACCAGTCTGGTTATTTGTGATGAAGAAGAAACTTACAATGCAGTCTCGTCACAGTTATACAAAAAGCCTGTATAAAAAGCAGCTCAGGGACATATCTCTGTCAGAAATAGATTCTCTGAGGATGATTAATTAGCTTACTTCAATCTCCAACAGATACCAAAGTCGTCTTCTTTGGGATGGATTGAACAGTAATTGCTGTGAGTGCCGACGCTTGTAATGTAAACCCTTAAGGAAATGAGCCATCTGTGAAATAGGTTAATCATCCAAATGCAACTTTTGCCCTCACACCATACATCTTATTTTCATTTTGTTGCTGTCAGTAGATTTATTAGAAGGGCATATGAGCCGAAGACTGTGCACTCCTTGACCAATGCACAATGTGCAGAGTTTATCATTACGGATGCTGTGTTGTTTTAACTCCATTGAATGTGAGCTTCAATAAAAATTGATGTTCAGATTGTTGAGCTGGCCCAGGATGAGCACAGAGGGCACTTAAAGCAACCAATGGGACGGCATTTTAAGACCTGGCTCCCTCTGGTGCTTTATTCTCAGTTCTTATTGGCTGTTCACTAGAGATGTTTATCAGTGATATCTATGTCATGCTTGTGCTCTTCATAAATCACATTCTGCACACATTGATTAATTTTGCCCAGGTGCTGCAAACTCTAGAAATGGAAGCTCTTGCCTGGGTGTGCAAATGTGAGCCTAAATCTCTCGACCTTTACCCTAAAAAACAGGGCCTTTTAACTGTCACTCCTTGCAATCCCTAAAGTGTGCCTTCACTATGCACACGACACGTACATTTTTCCACCAATGTTTTATACAAGCACGCAAAATTTGAAACTTTTGGCAGTTTTCTTCAGTTATCTCTGGTGAAGATGCAAATTTGAGGGGTCAAAGGCAGTGAGGTCATCAATAGGGAACACAAAAGTGGAGAGTTACAATCGTATTAGAATAGCGTGCTGTGAATCCCAACCTCCAGAGAGCACCGGGCCATTTGTAAGGTTAGGGTACAGTAACTGGATGAATTATCTATCAGATAAAAAAGCAATTGCTTGTACGTGAATGAGCCCCAAGCTGGACAAAGAGAGGGCACAACGTTCCTCCAACGGAGGCTACTTTGGTGGCAACTGGTCCATGCATGACAATGAAACATAAGCATTTCACATTGCTACCAACAAAAAGAACCTCCCCCACCAACATGGCTTTTTTTAAACCAATGAGGGGGTGCTTCTGCTCAAGGTGAATAAAGTAGATGAAGAAATTAAGCCTGATGATGGTCTTTTCCTTATTCTACGATTACACTTCTTGGATTGCATAAATTTATGCCCAATTAAAACAAATTCCAGCACACCCAGTAATAAAATATCCAATTTTCCACCAAAAAAGTATTGAAACATTAACTTTAATACCACTCAACGCGGGCAGTGTTTTATGAAGCATAAGCTAGTTGGTCAAAGGTGTGGGCTCAAAACCTAAAAGGGTGAAGGAAATGGGAGGCTGCCCCTCCTTGTACCTCAACTATGCATCAGCTTCAACTTTAACACAAAGTACTTCAGTATTAATCAAACTCATCATCACTGACTCTGAATTGCCAATCCATCTCATTATGAAACATGTACCAGTATGTGAGTGATTGCGGAGGGCCAGGAGGCACCGAGATTGAACAGATGACTCCAAGGGAAAGAAGAATGATGCTGGTTTAAACATCAACAGTAAACCATACTGCCACCTGGAGAGAATCCCAGGCAGGACACAGGACACCAACCGTATGAAATTAGACTGGAGTAAACATCTCAGTAAGGCACAACGGATTTAAAGTAACTACTGCTGAGTATTCCAGAATTGCTCATTCCAGTTGGTGGGGTGGTCAAACCATTTCTATACACAAATCTTTTGGGGGGCCTGAAATATGATTTTACAATTTTTCTTCTACTTCCAAACTGTGGTGGGAAAATCATATTTGAGGAGTCCTAAAGAATTTTGATTCTCTTGAGACAATTCCTTCACTATTCCTGCTCTAGAACCACACCCATGCAACAACAGCGGTGGCAACATCTGCTAAAAAAAACAAGGAAGTAAAGTACCATTTTCCATTTTCGTAGACACCATCCTCCCATCGTTAGAATTGGTCAAGCGATATTAAAGACATAAGTCTGATGAAATTATATGCCAGCTGAAGCACCAAAGTCATTAGGCGAGTTCAACATGTGAAAGTGAAATAATACTCAGATGCAATACACTACTCATATTGATATCTCAGAAAGAGGAGTTCTTAAAGTGAATTACGCATGAATACGCAATGCTGTTATACCAATTATCATACTCACCACATGAGGAAGATATATCCAGCATACATAGACAGCATAAGTAGTGATTCGTACCTGAATACGGAAATAATCATTCAAGAAACATTCACTTTCTTTGAAATACAACCCCTTCAGTATCATTCAATGCAGAGTAGACGCCAAATACAGTAACATATTTACATATGGTTTGACTCTTACATTATCTACACAAAATTTTGGCATTGCCATGTTTTACAAAAACAGATCTAAAGGGAACATGTAAACAAAAAAAATTATTATTCCAAAAAACAAATTTAATTAACATTAATATGCCCTTTATTTCTTAATGACAGGCACACTGACCTAAAGAATTTTTAAAGCCAATAATCCTCTGCAAAGCTTTAGCATAGGAATTTCTAAACAACATACAGAAATTTATCCAAATAAAGAACTTGTTATTCTGCTCTTTGTAGTGCGTGACTCAAAATTTTCTCTGAATAATGGAAATATCAGTGGACGCTTTTAGTTCATTCTTTACAAATACAATGTGTTGCCTTGGCAACTTGGATTTAATGAGGTAGACAGAAATTCTAAAAGGTGGTGGTAGCAATGCTGCCAATCAAATTCAATTTTAACTCGCGACCTTTTGAAGACTTTAAAGGAATCAAAAGGCAATTTAAAAATCAATGATGACACTGCTACCCTTCTCTAACTGCACAAAGACCTGGTCACTGTGCTAAGAAAGATTACATACACTGGCATAAACACATATTTATGAGTACTGTTTGCATTAGACTTATTGTCTATACATAACTTGGGTATATTCAAATTAAATGTGAATACAGATTTTGCCCCGCCCAAAAACTGGTACGCATATTAATATACAGCAATTCAAATGCACAATTTGAATACAGCTCTGTCCTTGGTTCTAATGTGCTGACGCTGGCTGATATGAGAAAGGAAAACAACAGAACTCTTTTTTCTAATATGTGTTTTGACCTCATAAAATGAGAGAACTGCCAATGTATTGGTACACTTCCCCTCCACAAGTTTGCAAGAAATATAACTCCAATTTGAGATAAAACAAGGAAATCACAAGGGAAGAAGTGTGTGTTGTTATTGCTCTTTATGCTAAATTTTGTTATGCATTTTGCATTACATGTGCTGTAAACTTACCACGTGATTTTGCCATCAAAAATGACACACATCAGCGTCAGTACTGAAATGGAATAGACGACGGTATCTCTAGCCATGGGCCACCACGTCAGAGGAATGACCTTGCAAAAGTAAAGAAGACCAAAAAAGGTCTGGAGTCAATCTGTCCACTCTCTCTTGATAAACATTGGTTAAAAATTTGCTCTTATGTTGCTCTTCACCAGCACTGGAATAACAAATATCAGTATTTTTTTTTAAAAAAACAGCTCTCCAGGTTTACTTGGGTGGGATTCGAACCCATGACCACTTGCTGGATATCAGTGCCGAGATCTAAATCCACTTACAAATTTATAAAATTTTGTAAGACCTAATATTCCTGCCCAAGAAAATTTTCTGTCAACAAGCACACAGATCCAAATGTTCAGGAATCAGTGCTCTCACAAAGGCTTTGTATGGGAAATAAAACACTGAAATTTGTTTGTTTGGCAGGTGCCTAGATTCCGCATCAACCAAAACAAAATGGATAACGAAAACATGCCACTTCCTTGTATGTAAGTGCTAGTTGCTAGGCAACCAAAGCTTAAGTGACTCCACGTTCTCAACTCTAAAGAGAGTGATATTTAGCTTCCTCTTGGCAAAGGTAATGTCAACTGAGTTATTATTTCACCGTTAATTTTTAAACAACTTCCAGCACTGCCCTTACACAAGGAATAGATACAAATGTTGGTCATTAATCAGTGGCTTTTCCACCTGCCTCTTTATGTATAAGTCTGCTGTAACTCTAACAGCTCAATCCTTACACTGGTAAATGAATGAGGACTGTTGGGGTTGATGTTAAGCTTTGGGCTATAAGGCAGGGGTAATTGAGTTTCAGATTTATTGGGGTATATCTAGAACCAAATTTTTTTTGGGGGGGGAGAGACTGGGGACAAAGAATTTGGACATTTTTTTCTGTAACCTTTTAAGGCCTGTCTGAGGTGTGAGGCTGAAATTCTAAGGTATTTTCAACACTTTTGGAAGGAAGGAAAATGAAACAGCCCAGAAGAATTAGCTATTTAGTATTTTTACAGCCTCTAAAAATGTTTGCTCCTTGAAGGCATTGTTCCCCCCTTCCAATTTCTTTGATGAATAGTGTCAAAGACTTTTTCAAAATGCATCATGATTTATGAAGAACACTCAGCAGATTGTGGTTGAGTTGGAGCATGGAATTACATACCGATGCTGCATTCCCTCAGATTTACTTTTAGTACACATGTACACAGACACTATATTGCCAGCACAATTTTTGGATTTTGGATGCAGTTATAGCAGCAATGGGTTTTTATTTTTGACTAAGTTATTTAATACTATATTTTTGTCTTGAAAATCACGGCAAGGATTAAAAAGTCCTTTTCAATAATTGATTAACTTGATTTTTAATTAATGGCAATGACATAATTCACTACGACACTGAAGTTGGCTTTGAATTTTGATTTATTTGCCAAAAACACTCAAAATAAAAAGAGACTTGTGTGTTCAAATTAACAAAATGAGAAAAAAATATATAAAGAGGAAACTCTTTGCTATGATGTGAATGCCCGGCTTTTAGGTTGTTTATAAATATCTCCCTCAGCCCCCACATGGATACACTGCATTAACAATGCATTAATATTTTCACATTCTGAAAACCCTTAGGAACAAAACAAAAATATTCCAAGAGAAGAATTTCAGAATATTCAACTTCCATAAGGAATGCAAATCTACCTGTCCGGCAAACAACCCGCACAGACCAATGATGACCAGAATATTGAACACTGCCGAGCCAACAATAGTTCCCACGCCAACATCACCCTTAGCGATGAAGACACCTGCAGATGTAACAAAAGTCAGGAAACATCACACTGAATGCGCAACTTCTTTCGGTCAATATTTCATTTATAGTTTAATGAATATTTAATTTTGTTGACAAGTATATAGCTATTATTCTGGCACATTTTTTAAAATGAAAACAGTACTGTTTAGAGACATAGCCTTTGATTGCCATCAAACTTTGATAACCTAATATTTTAAAACTTACTATTTTGTCCTTTATTACACTGTTACTTCTTTCTTTCCCTAAATATTTACTGACAAAGCATAGGGGTGACACGTCTTCATGAATGAGCTCCAGCCAATTTTGTGTTGCACGGCAGTTGGTAGGCACTTCAGAATGTCACAACTTTCACTTTCACTGAAGTCTGTGGTCCGAACAGCTTTGGAGTGAGTGTACAAGTTTGTGTACTGGTGTTAAATGAAATTCAATCTGTGACCTTTGACCCACCCCTTCTTTCAGATAACTCTACCATTGGGACATTTTAATCCAAAATGGGGAGAATAGGTGTACAATGCAAACAAACTGAAATATTTTGACAGCTAAATTTTGATCAGCGCAATTATACACCTTATGAAAAGGATTTTTGTTTTGAAATATTCAGAGAGGATTACAGGAGATTAAAATAACAGGATATCCTTTTGTGATAACTTTTGATCATGTCAAAGGTCTGATATCAGCTAAGACGAGAAATGTTATGTAAACAAGAACGTTCTTTTCCCCACTCAGAATGGTAACATTGAAAACACAAAGTTTGATTTTTGAGGCTTTTAACTGTTTTTAACTCTCTGTCACAGTTCAAATCTGTGACTGTTCCTCCCAGTTACTGTTAAAAGAATGAGACTCAATTTGCAATGGACTTGAAAACAAAACTGCTCTTCTGGAAGACAGCAAATCTTCAATACAATAATCCAGAGAGATGTTTCCGGAAGGGGGGCAGTCACACTGGAGATTTTTTGAAACGTCCCATTTTCGTGGACAAGTGGAAACGATGATGAAACAATACATGACATATCATTGTTTACAATGGTATTGGTGCACTACCTTTGTAGACTTTAGTTATTCTTTATTTTTACCATCCCCCTCCCCTTATTTATCTCAGAGCTGGGTTTTTGGACACCTCCCCCGGATCCTCATCTGTGCCATTACTGTAGTAAAGCTACACTCACTTTGAGAGACACATACTGTAGGGTATATTTTGGCAGGTGGCAACACCCTTGTGGTCAAAGAGCCATTGAACACGTGTACAATCTGTAAGTAAGTACAGTACCACTGCAGTAAAAGGCCTCTAATTCTGGTTACCAGCTTGGTCTGTATCTCTCTATCATGTTTACCAATGATAGATGTGAAGAGTTCCGGGGCCGAACTGCCAGCTGCCATAAAGGTGGCCCCAGCCACATCATGGGAGAATCCGAGCCGCTATGGAGAGAAAACAAACAAACAAACGAGACAAACATTTAGAAGGCATGGAAATTAATGGCCACTGGATCTGTAAACACGATGTCATTTTTGACACTAACTTGGCTCCGATGAGTTTGGATTGTTTTTTCATGGATTCATATTTTGCTGTGCTTCTTGATACTGGAGCTGAATTATTATATTCATTATTCCAAATGAACTGACCTCCTAATACACCCTGTGCACATTAAAACTAGCTATAAAATCTTTCTCAGGGGAATATCTTTCCAGACGGATTCCTTTTACCATGCTTCTACTAGGTACAAAAACTCAGGCCTCTAAGCTTCCATTACCTTCCCATACACACCAAGACCTAGCGAGCATAAAAAAATCTTCAATGTGTCGCCAAGAACACGCTCAATCCTCAATAAATCTCTGTTGTTGTTTTTTTGTATCACATTTGGGACACACCAAAACAACTCTCAAAGTGAGGTAATAGTGTTCAACTCAGGTAACTTCCATGTGGCAAAGGTTAAGGAAGTACATTTACAATGAAAAGAGCATAACCTTTGGATGGTGTGAATTCCTTTTTAGTTATTGATACATTTACAATACTGATGTACAAATGCATCACAATAATAAGTCTGGCCACAGGAAGGACAACGACTAAAGGCAGGTGTTTTATTTAACGTTGCCATAACAACGGCGTGTCAAATATCACCGATCACTTCTCAAATTTCCCTTACATCTGCATTACAGAGGTAGCCTTGGTGCAAATATATCCACAAATGGTGAGTTTTCCATCAAATCAATGGTCTGAAAAAATGTTTCTTGAAGGGAGAAAACAATTCTGCAATATTCTTCTCATACATTGGATGCCTTAGTAATGAAAGATGAAATTGTATCTCCAGGCGTCCCCACACAGACTGAGAAAATATTTACATGCCTAGACCGAGATGGCATTCACATCCCCCAAGAGATTGATGAAGGGGAAAGCCAGATGGTATTCCTTTCCCAATTTTAATTAAGGTATTTTGGAGTTAAGCAATCCCAGACTGGTTTGGAGGGAGGGTGTATGTTGTTTGGGCTGACCTTAGCTGACCAGTGCTTGGATGACGATGCAATTCAATCAACAGGAAATCCAGGAGAAATTGTTCTTGCGCTTGTGCAGGAATTCTTGACTATCTTGTACGTCAATCAAATATTTTGGATTTGATGATTGGCAGTACGAATAAAATGCATTAAGCAAGGACTTTACTAACTGCTTGGTCGAATTTGCCTTCGCTATTTTTCCACAAAGAAAACTGAGTCATGGCTCATTCTGAAATCAAACAGGGTCGTGTTAACTTTAGACTGGGCTATAGTTGTGGCATCAGAAGAATGAGAAGGTCCTCAACTGGTCAATGTCTGATAATGAGACATGAGCAAAGCTGAATAGATTACAGGAGTTTAAACATTGGCTGAAGTTTGCTTTGTGAAAGTTTTTTCATATTTCATTATTGAGGGGAGGGGGGCAACCATGGATTTAGTGTTTAGGTTCCCCAAAATGAGGCATCTTAAATCACTGTTCATCACTAATTCGCCCTTCGCCTTGGGTGACCTTTTATGTTAAATCTGATGGGACTCCAGGTAAACCATTTATCATAAACCTTGCTTTATCCGTGCATAAAAATTTAACACCAATATTTCCATGTGGACTTCCTTCCTTAGTTACATATGGAAAGTCAAATACCGTTTTAGCTGGGAGTTGACATATTTCCAGCTCATTATCACCAATCACAAATTCAGAGAAATCCAAAATAAACAAACTAAAAATAAGAATCAAAATTTGGAATGGCTTTTTTGCATCTTCCCTTAAATGATGGATGAAATTTAAATCATTTGTTTGCAATTAAAACATCAGCCTTCATTTAAAAAGAGACAGATGTGTAATTCAAGTCAGGTAGCCATCCACAAAGCAATCAGTAGTCACAATCCACTGTCCTTACCTCACATATTTTCTCAAGTGAAGATACAAAGTAGTCATCACACACTATGGCTAGAGCAACAAACATATAGATCACCTTCAAAAGAAAAAGACAAAGAGATTAAAAGAAAATTTGGACGAAACAAAGAGAAATGTACCATGACCAATTTGAAAATCAAGAACACAAACCAAATCACACATTTACAATTTCACAGATGATATTTATAACCACGAAAAATTCAACTTCGACTTTCAACTTTAAAACCTATAAATGCAGAAATAGTTAAATTATTTTTCAAATTAACTAATTTGCTTTCCAAAAACACCTTGACAAAATCTCATACTCACACACATGAAGTGCAAGACCAAAGCACCTTTCTTTCGTTGTTCATTGGAAAAGACATCCTCAGGAAACTCATGTATTGCTAGATACATAGAAACAGAAACAGTTATATAAAACTGCAGTGATGTAGTGGAAGTAAAAACTTAAAGAATTTTCTATCTTGGCAAAATTGTGTAAAACTGTAAACCTCACCAAAAGACAAAATTAAATGTCACAGGAAGTCTTGGATCCAGTGACAACTTCAGACAAATCATATGCACTGATATGATCCCTTTGCTGGTAAAGGATGCTTTCCAAACTCAGCAAATGCCATAACTCTCAACTGGATATCTGAGGAAGGGCATACAAATTCCGATTTATCCCCCCCCAAAAGGTGAATAACCTCCCCCAATGAAAGGTAAATCACCCAAATCCAATACACATTTCTCGGCAGAGAAAACATCTTATGGCATAGGTCCTAACCACATCTGCTTCCTCATTTTGTTTCATCATTACATGACTGATACGGGTGAATTTTAGACCACAGAATTCTTTCACAATAAATTACTATGCAGCACTGGCTGCAAGACATATCTGCCCTCCGAGAGAGACCAATGCCTTTTTGGAAAAAAAAGAAGCAGCTTGAAAACACTCCACGCTGGAGCTAACAGTGCATGCACTCTCACCAAATCAAATTTTCAAAACACTTGACAAAACAAACAATGATCCCTTCCAGGGACAGAAAAAAAATCCATAGCTTGAGGGTATTATTATCAAGTGTCCATATGGACCACAGTGTTGGAGATAATGAGATAAGAGAGAGAAGAGACCAAATTTGCGATTCCTTCCCCTCTCCTCTCGCAATTAAATATTGTTTTTTTCGGCCATTGTCACTTGGCAATTGACCTTCTGTGCACGTTTTTGTGAATTCAATCCCGCCCCACAAAGGTGCGGACTTCATCGATGCTGCTGCAGTAACAATGAATCGCTTCTCTGCAGGGGTTTAATAAATTCCTGCTCTTCAACTATCCAGGTGATTTTTTTTTCAGGAGGCAAAATTCTACGACCAGATAATAACTGAACAGTTACGGTGCGATTACTACAGGAGGTGCCGCCGGCGGCGGTAAACGTACACTGATTGCTATAGGTCCCCGCACTTATGAAACACCAAGTTTACTGTATCAAACCAAGATCAAATTGACTTTATGCCATAAAAATGTAATCAACTCACAAAATTAGAGGCAGCATATGACAACTGTTAAGTCACAAAAGACATGTTGACCTAATTACACCCCCGTGGCACCCCAAACAGGTAAACTGCGTTGTGGTTCACAACAGATTATGAAATATGAATTAAATAAGCGGTGAATTTTTCACTGTTTATCAGCTCAAGTGTCAACTTAACAAGCCAATTACATCATTTATGTCTTCTCAAATAAATGATACAGACTTACATCATGCGTTTTGAGACCGTATTTCGTCACGAAAAAAAAAGACACTACAAATAAAAATCAATGGACTGAATCATACGTTGAAGTGGGAATACACCCAACCCATCAAAAAATGAATAGGTTTGAACATTACATTGAAAGCTTTTACACATTGTTGGGTTTTCTTCAGGATCCTTCTATCCTTTTATTTTGTTTTTGAATTTCTTCACTATAAAATGAACTGACAAACTTAGCACTGAAAACCAAAATATTCACTGTATTTTACTGCCCAGTTTCGAAATCCCATAGCTAAAATGGCTACAGATATCCCAGACTGAGCATTTGTTTTATGGTAAAGAAGTCACGGTTTTACATACTAGATACTAATGGGTGGATGTTTAAAAACAATGTTATGGTGTTCCAATACAAAGTAATATTTTGTTCACAGATCAATAGAAACAATCGTTTTAATCCTTTTAAAACGTCTAGAGTGAGTTCCATTTAATCATGACTGAACACCTTACTGGCCCGTGAACGATCAATAACTACATAAGCTCAAATAACCTGTTCAATAATGTGAGTTTCAACCTCAAGTCAAACTGAAACAGCTTGCTAGTGATACGTTTCCGGCATTCAGTTTTGCAGATGTCCCAAGTGAACGTGTAAAGTTTGTTTTTCCTCTTGTTACAAACAAAACTGCCGCATGGCCTTCATATTCCTGACTTTTGTAATATCGTTCACATAGCAGAGTCAGTCGTGTACTGGAAAGACTTAGATATTTTGCTCTGTGGACGGACCGGTTGTTACAATGACCAACCAATTTGCTGTCCCAGACAAGATGGATGTTGACTGCCTTTGCGAGAATCGTGACTCTCAGGCTGATGAGTGGTTTCACAAAATGTCAACATGGAAGAGGAACCTGTCAAGCTGAACAAATCACTCCGCAAACACACTCAGGTTTTAAGCCGATTTTTTTTTACTGTTACCAGGCTTCTTTTCCTCCAATGTGTGTTAAGATCAGCAGGCATGCACGGATTCAGCACAAGGTAAAAAAATGAATTAAAAAAAAAGTCCGATAGATCGATTTTATTTTCAAAGGTGTACAAATAGTCTCAATGCGTCTGCCATCGAAATGCAGTAGGTCTGTTGATGTGTGGTCCATTTGTCATATTTCAAAGGTTGTGTGAATAAGTTTTCTATTTATACTATGTTAAAATATCAGTTTTATCTATGGATTTCCTGTAATTGGCGATCCACCGCTCTTGGGAATATTGGAAATAAAAACAAACGTTATACATTCATTTTCACTTTTTTTTTTCAAGACTTGTGCGCAACAATGCCGTGTTACCAAACTTTCATTCAAATTACTGAAGAACTACCACCGTTAATTGCCGTTTGATGTTGTTGCACTTTTGTCTGGCGGTACGGAGAGAGGAAACAATTTGTTGTTATGGAGACCCTTCTGTCTCTGAGGACGTCACAAACGAGGTGGATATGAGAAGGCCAAAAAAGAAGACATCAGTTTCGCTAAGGCTCCAATTTATTTATTCCCAGTAGGAATCATTATTTTCCTCGATGACGTTCGCAGCAACCTATAAAATCTGTTTACACGTTCATTTTGGAAGCTTCTACTCTGCCCGCACAAAAAAACCTCTACAGTGACCAAGGAAGAAAGAGCTGAAGAGTTTTAACATATCGCCAACACAAGCGGCCAACGTCTCCAATGAGTACATTTGCGATCGCGAGCACGCGTGCAAAAACGTGCGAGCCCTTGTACATTGTGTGGTGTCACTTAGAAAGATAGTACGAAGCTAGTATGTTGCCTTTAGAGCAATATGAGAAGTTTGACTGCATACTGGTGTACTATAAAGTCATCTGAATGCCAAGGTATCCGGGACAACAGCTAAATAAAACATCCGAATTCCCAGTATCTGCAGTCATAATACATAGTTGTATACAGTCAGTCGAAGCACGATCGAGTTCGATGTTCCGCGCAATGTTGGCGGATTCACTCTACGATCACCCCTACAAATTTCATGCAAGTCTAATGACTAACATTTTACTCGATTATTACCAACGCTTTCACAATTAACCAAGCGTAAGTCAAATACATGTAATGCTTGACTTGCCCCTACTTTCAGAATATATTACCATCCATATACTGATGGTACTAAGGGACCTATGACCTTTTCGAAAACATCAGACGAAAACAAAAGATAAACTAACGATTCCTGGACACGGAAATACAACATGCTGTCTCGCTACAAAATTGAAAATCTCTTTTACCCGTAACTGTAGGCCTATACATGATTTCGCCAATTTCTGCAAGAAACTACTTCCTCAGCGATTAACAGAACGCGCATTATTAGTAATTTGTCTTAAAAAAAGATATCTGACCAGCACACAATTTAATTAAGACTTTCTGCAGGAAATCTCTGTTATCTTTCAATTGTAAGGCATTACTTGTGTTCATAACTTCTTAAACGCAGTCACTGCGTGTTAAACTCAATTGGAAAGATAAACTCCAGGTCTTCCGCATACTCCGATGGTTTGGTTTTCATTTCTGACGCCGCATGGGTAGAAAATAAGTCAGACCGGATATACACGTTTCCTCGAAAAGCGAATCAAAATTGTCGCACGATATGTACACGTACACCCGCCACAACAGAGACCACGTGTGCGGGAATTTAGGCCGTGTCCAAATTGTGTGACTACGACTCGACGTTACGCACCAGTCTATGACAATGGCTGAACCGTAGAGTTGTGTGTAATACCAAGACGCAGCCAACTAATTTAGACAGCGGAAGTTTTCAACCAGATAAAAAGTGCTTCTTTTCATACAAAGCTTTGCAAAGGTAATTTGAAGAGGGCATTTCAGAAATTTCCCATCGCCTTCTCTCTTTTGACTTCAGGGAACAAAGAAGAACTGACTTCGCCTCTGACTCAGTTGGGCAGTTTCATTCTTACTAATATTCGCACTGCGTTGCAGCACTTTCTTCCATAATGTCGCGAAATTCGTCACCTTCTACAATTTGCATAGCAATAGTAACAAGGGTCATTACATCGCTGACATGAAACAGTTTACGCACCTGGTGCAAGTCGATTCGATCCTTGTGTTTCATTTCATCTTTGACTTAGTTTCACTTTCTAAAATAGGAAAATTTGGCTTCCGATGATTATGGAATCTAAAACGACGATGGCTGATCTGCACAAACAGGCAACTGTATCAGCAAACTGCTAGCCATATAAATAGATGACGTAAGTGCTCTGAAACTTTACGTCATCACAGCGTTACACCTTTCGTAACAATCGCAAAGCAAAGGCCTTACGCTTAGAAGACGAGAAGCAAACCCTGAATTTCCCCACTTGAACTCACTCTAGCTTCGACTATGCTTAAGATTGGTAATGCAAGTTAAATTGTGCCCATTTTGTCTATATAGCTAGGCTAATATGTTACCTTCCATAACTATTTATTAGAAAAACAGTTATGCCATCACTGGCAGAGGTTTCAGCAATTTGCTATGCTAAAATTGAAAGCTCGGGTGTAAGTTACATTTGCTGAGATTTACTTTTTGGTGTCTGTTGGTTTTGCACATGGAAGACCGTCAGCCGGCAAACATGATACGCAAATTTTAGAACAAGACACACTAGGCCTACGGGTTTGTCGTTCTTTAATACTTGGATGCAAAATACAGACAAAACCAAAGAAGATCGAGGGGACACATATCAGGGTCCTCAGTGAATGTGGATTTGAACTGTGGATTTCATTTCAAAGCAGCCACGAACACTGCTGGAAATACGTTCACACCCTGTGTATACACTTCAGGCAAGAAAGAGTTACCAAAATTGACGTGTACACAAATTCCGGAAACTATATAAACACTTGGGCCAGTCAGTTCGTTACTCAAACTGCAGCAAAAGCACAGCAAATTGATGTCCGACATTCAAGTGGCAAATTTCTCCTAAAAGTTGGAAACTTTAACTTCAGTGGACGGTTTTCCCCTGCGAATGTTACGTGACGACAACATCCAGTCAAATTGACATTCAGTTCGCTTTATTGCGAAGACGGGCCACAGGCTTCAACTGTGATATCAATTCCGAACGCGTGGACGGCCTTAAGTGTCCAAAACTTTCTGGCTAGTACCTACAGAATATCAGCCATTCGCAATATTTATATCATACCACATGTATTTGTAATCGCCAATGCAATAAGCAGGGAGCATGAAGAAAGTTTTGAGTCCCGGCGTCATGAGAGAAACGCTTACTACAGAGCGTGAGTGGAACTGATCCATTATGGGCTGATTACAGCGTGAAAGCCCAGAGCTCCTTCCACACCGCCACGCGTTGACGCGCAAGACGTAGCCTAACTTTAATTACATCAGGGCGATGAATGTAGCGGGAACTGCACTAGCTTGGATGGGAACTAACACGGATTCACACGCTATGGCCCTGGGTGAGATACTGTCATGTAAAAGGGCATTCGATCCAGCAGACTGGACTGCTGAACTGTTACAAAGCAGTAAAGTGAGATGCTGTTGGGTGTCCCAGACTCCACGGGACGCAACGGAGCGCAAATGAACAGGGAAACGATAATTGTTTACGGCCCAACTAACTCCTGGGACCCGCACAAAATTCTCGGAAATATTCCAAGCCGAATATTCAAGAGTTAGCCGAGAGGTTAACTTGTGAATCGAGAAGGAATTCGATGCCGGTTTGGGACTGCAGCAACAAAGTACATGTAAAAGCACATGGATGCATGCGTTTTTGATGCGCTTTTGTGTCCGCATACGATTGTACTAATCAGACTCGGGAGACGTATACAACGTGCGAACCGGACTGAAAAAGGGTACATGTACATGTACATTATGAATAGTCGACAGACGACAAACATCCGCTAATTTACGGTTGATTAGAATATTGACTTCAAGCACATAGGCAAAATAGCTATGGAGACAGTCTTATCTGAGAGGTGTGGGTTGTAAATTATTGAGAGAAAAAAAAGACCTGCTGAGCCGTTTACTCGGGGAAGTATCCCACAATGCAATGCAAAAACGAGGCAAGTTGGCTCAACTCGAAGTCCTGTGAAAAGAAGGCTAGATTTGTGTGTTTTCAAAAGCTCAAATTCGTGTTGCAAATTTAATTTCTGCATGACCTCTACACGCAGTTGGGGCACCTTGAGCATCCGAGAGCGTTCATTCATTGCCAAAGATTGCACATATCAGAACCTGTGACACCACTGGTAAGTGTGACGAAGTAATCGAACGAGCTGCACGAGAATTACACCTTTAAACGCACTACAACGCACGCACTCAATACACGGCAGTGAAGTCTGAGGCAAAGCATGTCTGTCCGAGAAACACCAGACAAAAAGACCACATCCCAGAGAACTTAGAAGTTCATTTTCTTAACACCGATTCTTTAATGTGATATACATGCATGGACACAAAACAATCCCAAAAGACATGTCAGCGACAAAACACGAGTCATAGGTGGGCCCCATGAGCTATCCGTTGCTAGCGCACATTTTCATCTTTTTTTGTCATTTCAAATGCTTCCATAATCCACTCCTCAGCTTCCGGGATACTTGCGATGCTTCTTTGAACACTTTGCCAGTTCCTTGAAAGGCTTCTTGAAGAGCTCCTTGAAGACGTCGTAAGTGGCATACGTTGGGAGAAAGGAAGGAGACTAAGAGAAACAGGCCAGTGATGTCATGACGTAACGGCGATGTACTGACGTCATTCTCTTCCTAATATTAGGCTACATCTATAGTATTTTGTGCTACATTTGACTGTCTGTGCAATGCTCCCACCCTGACCTGGGGATGGCTGCGTGTGCTCTGTCGAATAAGCGAGACGGTGAGGACGAGGTTAACGCGAGTCAACTCGTGGAAGTCAATAAATGAACCAACAATCAAGCCAGTGGCTTGGTACAATTGGTCCAAGAGCAACGCGAGTCCAGACATTTTTGAATTTTGAGAAGTTAATAGAATTCAAATTTCAAAATTGTACTCGAAAGTACAATCAGTCAATGCTTTGTCGCCACCGAGTAAGAATCATTTCAATTCCCTTTTGTTCCATAAAAATGCACTGTTATGCCTTAAGCATCACTCTCTTAAAGAGCACCTCTAAGGAAAACATGTTTCTCTGATTTTATCTGTTCAAGTAAATATGGAAGCATCCAAATCGAATGCAGTGTCATTTGTCTTTAGAGCTCGACTATAACAAGCTTAACAGGGCTTTTTTTCTGTTCATGCCAAGATGCGAACTCTGAATGCATCATTCTGAGAAAACAGAGAAAACGAGGGGAACTCTCGGCCTGAGCTCGTTGTGGATAACCCCTGTGCATGCCAAACAAGGCTACATGCATTATTTGGCATCCACAGGGTTTATCCACTACGAACACAGGGCAAGGGTTCCCCTCGTTTTCTCTGTTTTCTCAGAATGACGCAATTTACATTCAGAATTCACACCTTGACATGAACAGAAAAACCCTTTTAAGCTTGTTAGAGGGCTCTGAAGACAAATGACAACGCATTCGATTTGGATGCTTCCATATTTATTTGAACAGATAAAAGCAGAGAAAATGTGTTTCCCTTGGAGGTGCTCTTTAAGAAAATTTGGAAGATAAATAATGACCGGTAACCCTGCTGCAAACGGGCTTACATTTAATGCTTGCTCCAAGTCTAGCAGTAATTTTGCCTCACAGGACAATGTCAGCCATGTACATTCTTTTGTCTAACATGGGAACTGAACAGTTCCAACGAATCTAGCATCACGACCGTTTTACCAAATTATGTCATCAGGCGCATATTTCACACTACACAAAACCCAGACATTATTATGTTATCATTAAGAACTGTGACCGCAGACAAAAACAATTACTTAATTTCGCTGAATGACGCGTGTGCACACCGGTACGACACGGCCCCCATGCACGCTGACTGATAGCATTATAATTGACGCCGTGCGATTCAATTAGGGCATACCATGGCGGAGAAATTGATGGTACACTATCATATCATGCGTGAAAAATTAAAGTACCGCGTGCCGCAGAGTACGATTTTTTATCTGATGGGATCTGACCGCGAGGGCTGGTGGGACTATAATGCCCTCCTCTCGCTGCGCCAGCATTAAAACTCTGACAGGAATCTATGGCTCAAAAGATCTTCGTTATTACGATCGAAGGTTACGTGTCACGCTAATAAAATCTATTTTTAACGTAAAAAAAGAAACTGAGTTAAGGACAAGTTATTGATGCTGTTGAATAAGATGGTAAGAGTATCAAACGAACTGATGTAGGTCGTTGCCAAGTAACGTATACTGTCCGCTTTTCTATATAAAGAACGGGCTATTTGACAAAGGCAACACTGTTGTAACGAAACGGCGTATGAATTTAGTGCCATGATCTTTGAAACTCACAAGCTGTGAGCGCATTTTAATTTTGTATGTTATATTTACGCACGTCGCATTAAATGAGTACAGTAACATCTCTTTATAAGAAAACGTAGGCCCTACAAGGGATTCTTATAGCAAACCACTTCTAAACCAGCAATTTACCGAGTCCCAAGTAATCGATGGTTTCCTCTTTTTTTTTTTGCAATCCTGTTTTAACGAAATGTGTTTCAAAACTGCGGTCCACTCTTGGATAGGAATGAAGGGCCCTTTTCTCTTCGTCAACTCGCGTCACAATGCAATCTCTTTGCAATTTCAACATCACCGAGAGATTATGTGTCACACTATGTTTGGCTTTATCTCCCACAGAATAATTTACAACTCGGCACCTGAAGGTGTCATAGAAATAGCGCCTTCCTTACAGGTGACGACCACAGCACAGGCGAGGGCTACTTTTGTAAAACCAGTGGTGATGACTTTGCTATTACGTTACGATGTATACGTACTAGGCGGTGTGCAGTTTCTGTCTTCATCCGCGATATTTTCTGTATCATTGCCTTCGTCCTCTACGCCGTCTACTTGCGTGTAACGTGTCGATGCTAATCGGCGTAGGAATACACTATGGCGGCTGGGATCATCTAACTGCCCTGTATCGTGGTCTTGCAAATCTTCACCTACGGAGAAACAAAATTGGAGTGGAATGATCACATCAAATGACAATAAGAAAGATGAAATCCAGTGTGATAATTCAAATGTTAACACACGATGGTTCAAGCAAAACAGATATGTCGATTACATATGGTATGGGCTATACTTTTACAACGTGCTCAAAATCTATTTCAAGATCAAAGTTGCTTCAAACAAGACCTCGAAAATTAATTATCAATAACCGCCTGCAGGTATTGATTATCTTTAAAAACAAATACTCAGAAACATTCTTCTCGCTGTCAATGCCGCAGAATCACTCGGCACCAGGAGATTTAAGGCTACTTGAATATAAAGGCGTCTGCTAAATTTTACCTCCTTTCAATTACGCCAACGTGAAACGATGACACTAAACACACACTTGTTTTCGATCATCAGTACGTTTTTAGGAATCAACCAACATCTGTTTTTGGCAAGCGGATGTTGCGTATAGAAGGTGGAAATGACCACAATACACGCTGCATACTCATCCTAATCAGTGCAATATTATACAGCGGTATCTCTCAGTCGAGTTTCGGGTTACTTTTACAAATCAAACATCTGTCGGGGTCTGCTCCGACTGCAGGTCTAATTACTGAAATCCTCGGAGATTTAACACTCTACCCATCGAAAAATTTAGCCAAAACGGGATACTGCACACTGATAAAGGCCGCTCCGACCAACATTATTGAATTCTCTCACGTGCAAGGAGATTCACTTTTCATCTCCTGCAAAGTGTGCGCCATGGGTATTAATATCACCCAACTGCATTAATAATTCACGTGCATGCGCAAGTGCTGTACATGCACGGCACCAGGGGTGTAAATCCCAGGGGGATGGGGTATGTATCCACTCCCTCTACTTTTGAACGGTGAAGTGGGCTATTGGATCATCCCCCTCGCTCTTTCGTGATGAAAAAAAAGGGCGGATGTGGGGGTATTATTCGATCTTTCCAACAAGCAAAATGTATTCAATTATACTGGGAAAAGCTTTTAAATGCGCCAATTTGATGGGCTGTAAGGGCGCCTAAGATTTGTATTATGATCAGCGCCCCCTAGTGCCATGTGGTGTCTAGCACCGGCCCCCTTAAATTTCCACGGATGGCCATTTTCCATTTCAGTCTTCCTTCATTCAAAGTCCAAAGCAAAGATTACGCAACTATACACTATAAAAAAATATAGACAGTTATCGAAAAACGAACATAAATATAGTGTATCAAAAAGGCACAACTGAAAAATCTGCCGCAAAATGTGAAGCTGACAGCAACAACAAAGGGAAAGGGGTACTGTGACAATCGGCTCTTCTTGCTGGTGGATGTGTTGAAAATTTGTATCAAACTCTCAAAAATAATCAATTTACATATTCCTTTGGCTTTGTAGGCTCGATGGGCATACACTGAATTTGGAATACTAAAAGCGGTCATTCATTTTGTAGCACCAACACATTGACATCATCGCAAGACTCGACAAAGACACTGATCCGACGAAAAACTGGTTTAATAAAGATACGTCAAAATTTCCATATCCAAAGGTTCAAGTGCGTCTTCATATGGTAGAGAGTAACTTTTACTAATTGGAGTTAAACACCTTACGAACAGTTATAACAAATCATAAAAAAGTGTTGTCTCGAACAGTGATTAAAAAGTTTACTTGTTGGATAACAAGTAACTCATATGATTCATTAATCATGCCTCACAGATTCATTGATATCCGAGTTTTTCTGGTATTTCAATCAAACGGCTGGTAATTCTGAGGAAACAAGTAAGATCTCTTTGATTTAATAAGATATATTGTTAAATTTTTGACAAATGGACTTCACTGGTTTTACGGTTAAACCCTGTAACTACTGCAACATCAGCCTTGACCGCACGTCGTCTCATAACGCCAACGTCTGGCCTATAGTACTGTAAAACAAATGGCAGAAGCGACCTAAACTCTCAGGAATTACGCGAACAGACACCAGTCGGTCTTCTGAAGTACGGGACACTGTCCGTGTTAAAACTAAAATCGAAACAATTACTGGAAATCAGAATGCCCGGACCGACTTGTTGAGAATGGGATCATTTGACCCGCCGTACACCTAACAGGCAAAAAAAGAACGCACAGACGTCAGCCTAAATGCCCACATAAACTTTTAATGGCTGCAACATAAGCAGTCTTGAATGTCATCAGATATGGCCAAGAATTCTGACAGCATACCAAAAATAGCTCGCTAAGTTGATACATTGACATTTGAGACACAAACCATACAGCCTGCACTTTGGTAACATGAAACAGCTGTCATAAGTATGGCAACTCGACGAGGCAAACACAATAGATCAAACGATATACCTGGTTCGATTGTTATCAAACAGGAAAGATACTTCGTTCTCTCTAGATATTTCTGTAGAATACTGGCCGATACAGGTTAATCCAAGGTGACGCCACTGCTGTGACGTAAACACTGCACGTGCAACCCCGACTCTAATAAGATGCTGCCTCCACTAAGATCGCGCAAGGCATGGTGGGAATCATTGATTTCCATTTTACAGAGATCATGATGGGAACCAACATGGCGCGGCAAGATCATGGCCATGGGAACGAGGTTGCCTCACGTGCATGTCGCGTTTTTAGGGGTCAACTACCTGGCTTCATCTCCATCAGCAGAATACAGGGACCAATAGCGATTAAAATTAATGAATCGTGAAAAATTCCTGTAGGTTTATGTTAATGAAGAAATTAGCATATTATGTAGCTACTGTCACAAATGCAATAGAAATGTTAGGTAATGAAATAGTTTGCCCTGTCCTCTTTATTAGTGAACGCAAGTTCAGTACAAACATTGCTTGTTCGTGTGATATCTGCGCAAGATAATCGGTGATTTAGGGAGAAAACGAATGACAACACCGTGAGTGTAATAGGGCTAACCATGGAATCAGTACTGTGATTGATTAGCTATACCCAACACGTGACACGTGTAATCAATGCCACTGGCGTAACAGTTTTAATATTCAGGATTCAAACAAATGGACCAACAAGACACGCTAAATTTAAGGAAGCTACTGGTCCAAACAATCTATTTGGATGCCATTTAAAGAAAGATATGGGACGGAGAGAACTCCCCACCTTTGTGTTGGTCATTTTTTGATGGGAATCTCAGGAATTCTTTACTGTCTTCTGGGAGGGATGTGTTAGGTAACAGTAGTCTAGAGTGTGTATAGGGATTGGACAGGTAAGGGGGGTACCCCTCCGTCCCATATCTTGCCTGGTATATCGGATAGGGACCAAGGGCGCTCTTAACAACTGAGGACAGGAAAACAACTCCGCATGAGAGCACAATACAAGCATCGCATAATGATCAAACTGTTTAAAAATACTGAATTTTAACAGCAAATTTATGTTTTCACTATAATCAAATTCCCGGGCGGTTGAACGCACTTTCCTTCCCTGTGTCACAATGGCTCATCAATTCATCAGGTCAACATTTCAGGGAACATAGATCGCTAACTCTGCCGCTGTCACGCCAAAGGCAAAATGCACTGGATCAGTGATATCTACGCACTTTCCGCCAAGTACCGTAAGCCAATTTAAAACCTCAGTGACGCTCGTGAATCATCTTAGTACTCCAAAATCCCAGATATGTGATAGGGATATGCACTGTGCAATGACACAGGCATTCACACTAAAAGATCTTTTACATATAGAAATATTACGTGAAATCATTTAACCATCTTTGTGGCTCGGAACAACTGGGCAAAAGCTACGTTCTAGTGACAACACGAAACAAGAAAACGGCTATAATAATTATAATTAGCAACAAAAATGTTTACGTGCGAAATTAAAACTATATCGTTTTCAACGGAGAGCCCCTATCAGTCATGTTACCTGCTTCGTGCATCCATGAACAAGAAACATGAAATGAAAACACTCCTAACTAATCATGAAACACTGTGGTGTCGAAAATGAAAACTTGTCTTTGCAAGAAATTGATTGAAGTGAATGCTTTCGTATTTTTTTATGGTAATAGAATCTACTTCAGTTCAAATTTCAGCCGTGGCTACGAAACAGTGGGCCAAATTATATTGAAATTATGTTGTTCACTTTTAAACACAGACTACTGGGTGATCGAAACTATATTAAACAGAAGTAGAAACCACACTAAAAAAAAGCTGAGCACATATGTTTTTCCCAGATATTCTCAGGCTGTTTGTAGTGGTGCAGCATCTTCACTAAACTTGAAAGTCCAAGGGACTATTAGATAATGATATCGCTTTACCACCTTAATTTACTTCCAAGGATAGACATCCGTCATAGCGCTATTCCGACAAACATGCTTCCTGCACTGGCTGGCTCCATTCAAAGCCTGCCTGCGGTCGCGCCACATGAGCGACCTTTTAAGAGAGATAACTATCACCCGGAAGTCAAACACCCTACCGACCAAGCCAGACCCACCACGTGCTCGACATTCCGATTCAAAATGTCGCATACCAACGGTTGGCGGGGCAATGTCATTTGCTATGACCGAGGCGCGGGCAGATGGGCCGTAATGAGAAAAAAAAGGGTGGTAATGAGAAAAAAAATAAATGCAAAAAATAAATGCAAAAAATAAATGCAAATTTCTCTGTGTGCGATCAATATTGTGATTTAGTTACACCTGACCTGGCACGTTCTATTTGGCAGTTAGAAAAACCAAGGTAAACAAAATGAAGTCCATTGATTGCGCGCCGTGAAAGCCATGTTCGTGCCAGTTTATTTCTTTCTAGGCTAGTTCATACATTGAATTATGGCGTATTGCCAAAGGCTTGAGAGCTGTGACAGAGATCATTACGTAGAATTTTAAGGGGAAAATGAACTCTTTCAGAGTTTTGAGATTGACCCAAATACACCTGTGTAGTAAACGAAGGGGTACGTGTAAGCCATGCAAATGAAGCGAACCATTTTCATGCATATCTACGTTTAACACCAAATCTTTTGTTGGCAGCGTTTGATTAAAAGGGTATTGGGGCCAAAGT